AAAACTGGGTACACCTGAGGCTGGTTTGGCATGTCCAAAGTGAAGGTTGAACACTCATCGTGTTTTGCCACCACGGTGTACGGTCCGTCAAAACGCGGCATGTACTTAGCTACGCGGTTGTGTCCCCTGCTAATGTATGCGGCGCGGCGATTCCTAGTGGAGAGCTTCACCCGGTCGCCTACCTCGATCTTGTGGTCCGGGGCCCGGTGCTTGTTCGCCTGTTTCGCCTGGGATAGTTTGGCGGCAATCAGGTTGTCCTTCGCGTCTTGTACGTCGGTATCCAGTCGGTCAATGATGACGCGTGCCAGCGCCTCCTCGTTGGTGACCTCCGCCGTTGGTCCCGCTGGTACCAACGGAGGTAATAGACATGGGGACCTGCCCATACGCAGTTGGAAACCCGAGAATCCTGTGGACGCGTTCACCGTGTTCATCATGTCGAAACGTACTCGAGGTAGCGCGCGCAGCCAGCCCTTCTGGTTCCGAGCGACGTGGTAGCGAATGGACTGGTTCACTGTCTTGTTCGTCTGTTCGCTCGATCCGTCTGTCTGCGGGTGGAACGCTGTCGACATCTTGAGACGAACCCCTGTCAGCTTCGTGAAAGTCTTCCAGAACTCAGACAGGAACAGCTTATCTCTGTCGGAGACCAGCTCAAGTGGAATGCCGTTCTCGCAGTACCAGTTGTCGAAGAAAAGCACCGCCAGTTCATGTGCCGACACTGTGGTTGTAGTCGGCACCAGGCGTATATCTGAACCTAAGCGGTCCGTTATCGTCAGCAGGCAATTGAAGCCCCCTTCAGTCGGTAGCGGGCCCACGAAGTCCAAAGCCACGGAGTCGCCACGCCCGTCCGGGATCGGTAAAGGGTGTAGTGGGCCTGCCTTTCGTGTCGTCCTCGACTTGTTGCGTTGGCATTCGGGGCAAGCGGGAATGTACGCTTCCTCGAGGTCTCGGCGCATGTTTGGCCAGTAGTATGCGTCCCGGAGGGCCGCGTACGATTTGTCGAACCCAAAATGGCCCAAGTTGTCGTGTGCCAGACGGTAGAAGGTCTCGCGTAAGTCCCCAACTCTCGGAATGATGAGTCTGTCCGAGATGTACCAGAGGCGCTCGGGTAAACGGAACTCCAGGTTAGGCATGCCTTCCGACGCCACTTCTAGCTTCGCGCACCAGGGGTCCTTGGCGTAACCCGCGCGTATCCTGTCCAGAATGGACGCGTCCGCGGCGACGGTCAGGGTCGAGGCGATCGTTGTCGGCGTATTCGCAATATCTGCGGTCGAACGACGTGAGTGCAGCGACCTTGAGTGTGTTCGAGTTTGCGCCAGGCAACGCGCGGCCGTAAAGGTGGGGGATGGACAGTGGGGTAGAGTCGCCGATACGGGGGTCGCCACATGGGCGGGCTCTTCGCCGTCCGTGAAATCCGTCCGCGACAGCGCATCTGCAACCGTGTTGTCGTCGCCCTTTACGTATGCAATCTTGCAATCATATTGGCTCAAGAATTCCATCCACCTCGCCTGTCGGCGTGACAGATCCCGCTGGTTGTCAAAATTCTCCAGGGTGCGATGATCCGTGTAGATCGTGAACTGTGAGCCAATGAGATCCACCCTCCACCGGTGCAAGGCGCGGATAATGGCCAGCATTTCCTTCTCGTGGACAGGGTAATTCAACTCTGCGCCCTTAAAGGACATGGAGTCGAAAGCCACCGGCCGCGCCGTCTCCCACGTCGGGCCCCAAGAGAGTATGCCGCCCGACCGGTAGTCACTAGCGTCTGTCGTGACAAAAATCTTGTTGTCCCCAGGGGATTCGTGGTCGATCACGGTCAGGCATTCTGCACTGACGACTATCGACTTGATGGCTTCGAAAGCCGCCTGTGCGGTGGGTGTCCACGCCGGGAACTCCTTGTCGCACGCTTTCTCCGTGTATTTCTCCAACACGGTCGTGTGGTCCGCAAGTCGTGGTAAGAACACCGCTATGTATCTGACCAGACCTAAGAACGCACGCACATGAGTCGATGTCCTTGGCTGAGGCCAGTTTATGATGCGGTCTATCTTCCGCGGATCGGCCTCGATGCCCTTTGCTGATACGCGATGGCCCAAGAAATCCACGTCGTAACAGAAAAGTTTTGTCTTCTTTGGGTTGCAATACAATCCTGCCGCACGCAAGGCAGCAAATATCGTCTCGATGTGCTTCTCGTGTTCGTCGGCCGAGTCGGACCAGATCACTATGTCGTCCAGATACACATGGCATATTTTCCCGATGTGTTCACGTAGCGCGGCCGTGACGCGGCGTTGCTGTACGGATGGTGCGTTACGCAACCCCTGTGGCATCACCAGCCACTCGTAGAGGCCCAGTGGGGTGCTCACCGCCGTGTATTTGATCGAGTCTGGATGCATGCGCGTCTGAAAGAAACTGTCCGTGAAGTCGATAGTGGACCAGATGGAGCCTTTTGCGCAATCCGCCAAGATGTCGTCAACGCGTTGTAAGGGGAACTTGTCTTGTACCGTGACCCTGTTTATCGGTCGGAAATCGTTGACCCATCTCGGCAAGGCCGACTTGTCCGCCTTTGGGATCAGGAAGGCTGGCGATGCATAAGGTGAGGAAGACGGTCGGATTCTGCCTGCATCCAAATGCTTTTGAATTAGCACTTGCCACGCCTCCTTATATTTACGTGGGCTTTGGTAATTTCGAGTTTTAAAGGTGAAATCGGCCTCTTTCAGCTTGATCTGGCACGTCACATCTGTGGGTAAGGAATCAATGTGCGGTACGGGCTCAAAAATGTCAGAGTATTTCCGTTTCATCTTTTCGCCTCTTTGCTGTAGCGCTTCCCAGTGAGACAGTACTTCGATGCGTTCCCTCACCGCTGCCACTACATCGACGGGCTTGACAGCCTCAAAGAGGTTGGCCGTCTCCATTGTACGGCGACGCGTTGCGCATATGCTTGTCAGTTCTGCCATCATGTCGTTGTGCTGTGTCAGCGTTTGCTTGACGCGCTGTCGCGCCGACAGTGGTCTGGTCCGTGGGCGGACGATTGGCGGGTCTAGCAGATCGTAGCCCGAACGTTTGTCTACGACGGATCGTTTGTGGTGGTCAATTACAATTTGATTATGGGACAACCAAGGCAGTCCAAGTACAATGGGAAAACACAGCGACGGTGCGACGATTGCGCGTACAGTGGACGACGTCCAAGTTTGGTCTCGAGAGGTTACACGTAGATTCACGTAATGCGAGAGGTCGATGAAGGATTGTTGATCCGAAGCGGAAATTGCAAGGGTGATTGATTCGGGCTTATGCAAACGGAATTGACGCAAGGCGAGCTTCTCTGCCAGATCAGAGTCGATCAAGGCTAGATGTGCACCCGAATCAATCAGCGACGTTATCTCCAAAGAAAGATTCGACATCGGGCCGTCGATGAGACAGTCCCAAGTCAGGTGGGGCAAGCGTAAGGGTGGACTCACGCGATCAAGGCTGGTCTCCGACTCGAAGCTGGATTCGTCACCCTCCACGGTGGGCATCACCACGGCGACAGCCTTCCCTTTGCCCTTTGCGTTCAGTTGAGCGCGGGAGGCCTTTGCTGCGAGGACGGTCTTGTCCGTGATCGGCGTGTATGTACTGGCGTCGGGCCACGCCTCGCATTTGATGTGGTTGTCCCCCACAAAGAGCTTGCGGCAGATTGTACATCCATTGTTGTTCCGGATGTGTTCGCGTTCCTCGTCCGTGAGTCTCGGCAGGCGGCGGGAAGACTGGGCGCTCGACGCGTTCCCTTTCGAGGACGGGCCAAAAGGTCGTTTGGTCTGGCGGTCGTCGACCTCGGTGTGAGCGCGACGCTTATCTCGTTGTTCACGCTGCTCGCGGCGTTGAGAGTCCTTTTCCGCTTGCATCTGCTCGAAAATCTCGCGCTGGACGCGGATGTCCGCCAGGCGTTCCTCGTCGATGCGTTTCACTTCGCGCACCCATGCGGTGAGCTGTTTCTGGTCGTCGGCCGGCAAGGCCTTCGCCTTCTGGTCCTTCTTGTACAGCAACCGCAGGCCGGCGTTCATCCCTGCTTCCAGAATGGGGCGCAGTTCCTTTGCGCCGTAGCCCGCTTCGACTTTGGCCAGTTGCGCGTTGAAGGCAAATATCTGCGTCGCGTACTCCATGAAAGAGCCCATGGGTTGCATAGACGCGCCGAGGAGGTCGCTTTGTACGTCGTCCTTCCATGTAGCAGGCAGGAAGGTATCGGCAATGTCCATGAAGAAATTGGCGAGGGACAGTTTGCCCAAGCGCGCTTCTTCCGACGTGAGGTACGAGTCGATCATCGGATCTTCGAATATCTCCAAGCAGTACGCCACCTGCTTCCCGTCCTCAATCTCCTTCTGTTTGAAGTATGAACGGCAAGCCTTCTCTGCTTGTGACAATACGGAGGGTGTCAGGTCGCCCGCTCGGATGATTGGCAGTTTGCCGTGGGCGAGTACCAGCATGTCTTCCGTTCGAGACATGGCGAGCGTGTTTGGAGATGATGAGCGACGACGTGAGCGCTGTTTGTTCGGTACCGGCGTCTGTCCTGCGTTTGAGGATGCAACGGGCGAGTCCGTCAATAGGGGTAGGGAGGGAGTAACAGCGTCGTCCGTGTGTGACGCAGCGACCGGCGGGTCAGCGTTTCGTGTCGTTTGACTTCGAGTGGTAGGCAGGGTGGGCGGGGAGTCACAAGGACTGGATATATGCGCGGATTGGGTGATGACGTGGCACCTTTCCCTGGAGATCAAATTAGCACCCATGGTGCGTAGGGTAGGGTGGGAGGGTGGCTGCACGATGGCTCGCCTGAGTATGGGTGTGGCTTCGGCTCACTATCCCGGTGGGAGCGCGCCCTTTTTTGATCCACGGAAGCAAAGTCGCTTATCAAAAGGTACGCGTCTACAGCGTGGATTGAAGATTCAAAAAAAGTGGAAGCTCACCTGGCTTATCCAGGTGAGAAACACTAGAAGAGAGAACTAAAGGAGAATCGGGCTGAGCTGAATCTGAATCGGGCTGTATTCTCTAGTGCGATACGTATCGTAAGATGGGAGAGAGAGAGAGAGAGAGTGTCATGTGATCGTGATGTCAGTGTATGTAAGCAAGCAGGCTTGCAGTATTCAGGGTATTCCAGTGGCTTGCATGCGTTGGTAGAAGCATGTTATGATACAGTGTACAATTGTAAGTCAGGGCATAAAAAGACCTAGTGAATCGAAGCCGCAGCGGCTTTACCCTCAGAAGCGCGAATCTGTCCTTTCTCCTCCATCTCCGGTTTCTTTGTGACCTTGCCGACGAGCTGACAATCGAGTGAGTCAAGATGTGCCAACCAAACCGGCGACGACAAACCTTCTGTGCTGTACCAATCATCTTATCCGCAGCGCTGGGTTTGCTAGCGTGGTCGTGAATCCCGGAATCATGGTGATGATCATGGGTGGTCGTAGGTCCAGCAGCAGCTGCGGAACCCGTCAGCAAGGAAAGACACAAACCACACGGGCAAGCACGCACCGGTAGACGAGTCCCTCAGATCCGTCGAATCGGGCCGCTTCTCGCTGAAGGCGTCCCGTCCCGAATGGGGCTCGGAGTCGCGCGTCGTGGTCGTCGCGGTCGGCCTGGAGGTGCCGATTTCAGACAGCTCACGTGTCGGTTTCGTGGGGTCGGCGTCCTGCCACACGGAGCTGGGCAGACGCTCCATCGTCTCCGGGCTGTAATCGACTGCGGGCGCCGCGCCGCGCGCACCAGGGAGCGGATCCGAGTCCTTGTGGACGTGGTGCTCGGGGAGAGCTTCGGTGTGGTGTTGGTGAGCAGAGAGGTTGGGAATGGAGGCCATGTTTGTGAATGAGTGAAGAGGTGTAGATACGGCTGGCTACTTTTATAACTGGTGTCTCAGTTTGGAGCGAGTGCTCAAAGGCGGTTACATCATCTGCGCGTCAGAGTCGATAAACTTCGGATGTCTAGGAGTGGATAGAGCGGGCCGTGTGGCGGATGACGTAAATGCATTAGCCCTGCTGGATGCGTTGGAACCCGAGTCAAGCGCTTGGGTTCTCCTCGAGTCGCAGAGGGAGGACTGCTGTTTTGGGACAAATCCTGCTCAAACAGTCGCGGGCGTGAGAACATCGACGTCATTCAAGTGATCCGCCATTGAGCACTTGGAATGGAATTTCAAACAGTCTAAGCAGGTCCTAAGCACATGCAAGTTCCCAGACAATGAGCTGGTTACTGATGGCACTGCAAATCTTGACTAGCAGCGCACGAGGTCGCTGCACGCCCTCCCCGGCTGATTGGATCGCAGGGGGTCACAACCTCAACACCCGGTCCACTTCTTTATCAAACCTCTCCTGGCAGGCTGGGATGCAAATCAAAACACGGCAAATTCAATCAAGTGTTCCACCTACCAACCACATGAAATTTATGCTTATCGGGAGCAGTGAACTCGAAACTGCTGTCGTCGGAACACTATTATGGCTTACTACACACTTGGGAGATCGGAACCTGCAAGATGGCAGCTGGACTCAAATTTTCGATGGTGAGACCGAACAAGACTCTCACGGCAGACTGGGGTTGGGAAAACCCGCCAAGGTAAACAGTGACGAAACGTGCCGCTGGACGACTATTGATGGAAACATGATGGTAGTAGCCACGGTGACGCGGCCGATCAGCCTGTGATCGACGTCTACTCATCCATAATTCAGTTCCAGAAATCCAAGTACTTAAAGCGCATTGGGTCGCTCTGTGCATTGTTTCATCTTCTCTTTCTTTCTTCCTTTCCCACTTTTCTTACTTTTCTTCGACTGTGTCGACGGCCCGCCCATACTCCCGCACACTTTCATTTCAAGCTAGTCTTTCATCCTTATCACAATGAAGTTCGCCGCCACCGCTGCTCTCGTCGCCGTCGCTGTGTCTGTCGCAGCTCTCCCCGTCCGTCGTGGAGTCAACACCAGCTTGATCGTCCCCTTCGGTATCAACCCGGGAGCCAAGGACCCTGCTGGATCCGCCTCTTGTGTCGGAATCAACGGGATCCTCATTCCGTGTTCCTGCCCGCCCGATCTCGCATCCTTCACTGACGTACGTGCTATGCATTCCCTCGTGTCCTCGCACCCCTTGACCTGTCGCCGCAGTCCTTGAACGCCAACGTCGCCGCTGGCCACGCGATCAACAACCCGGGCATCGGCGCTGCCTTCCCTGAAGACGGCTCGATCCAGTCCCAGATCACGCGCCTGAACGCCCAGACAGTCACGCTCCAGAACCTGCACGGTCCCGGCGTGGGCTGCCCCCAGGCCGCGACCAACTGGGGCGGTGTCCTCCAGAAGCTCCAGGCCGGGATCTCCGAGAACCTGGCCTCGCCTCCGCCGCCCCCGACCCCGGCTGCCCCGGCGCCGCCACCCCCTCCTCCCGCCGCCCCAGCAGCCGGGGGCGTCGACCCCGCGCTCGTGCCGCAGTTCGACGTGACGCCCGGGATCAAGGACCCCGCAGGCTCCGCGTCGTGCGTGGGCATCAACAACATCCTCATCCCGTGCTCGTGCCCGCCGTCGCGCGAGGAGTTCATCGCGTCGCTGAGCGCGAACGTCGCCGCGGGGCACGCGGTGAACAACCCGGGCGTCGCGTCGCCGTTCCCGACGGACGGCTCGCCCCAGGCGGCCGTGACGCGCATGCAGAGCGCGCTCGTCGCGCTGCAGAACCTGCACGGCCCCGGCGTCGGGTGCCCCGCCGTGTCGACGACGTTCTCCGCGCAGCTCTCGGCTCTCCAGGCGCGCGTCTGAGGGGACGGCATGGTGGACTTGTGATGACTAGCTTTTATGTTTGAATAATACCGTACTTATTGATAAGTATGGGCGCTCTTTGCAATGAACTACCCTGGGAAGGAAGCATTGTGTGATGAGTTGACGAAGTGATGGTATCGATACTCAAGCAGGGTCAGATGCCAACGCCTCGTCCACCATTCCCAAGACACTTGCGGACCTTGCTTCGACGTTGCACGTAAACGGGGCGGGGCGGCTGGAGCGTACGTTTCATCATTGCTCACTCAGTGCAGGACAAGGACGCACCAGATGATGCCATCTGTCGTGCCGACTTCCGGCTCTATAGGCACACCATGCTCGTCCTTGGCTTTAGTTATCGTCAGCCCCGCCACAAGCTTCGCAATGTTTATCCAAACGGAAACGTCAGCAAGACGGATGCCGGGACATATCCTGCCACAGGTAAATAAAAAACATTCTCACGAAGAGCAGAACCGGCATCTGCCGCACACACCTGCGCCCATAGCCGAAGAGACCGACCTCGGCTGGATGCCGCTCTGGATCTGGTCCCAGAAAACGCTCGGGATTGAAAGTGAGTGGATCCCGATAGGTCGCAGGATCGTGCAAGAATTTCCTGTCGATCATCCATCATTGATCTCTGTGTGCTCGAGGGCATGAATAGCACCCACCACACGTTCGGAATCACCACAGAATCCTTGGGAATAAAATAGCCCTCGTATACATCGTCCTTCATCGCGCGATGGGGCGCAGCTAGACTGCAGTTCAGCGGCCGATGGCAACTACGGTGGCAGGAAACAACTCGCCCAACGGAACAATAGGCAGCCAACGGTAGAGTTCTGTGCACAACGCCTCTAGATAGGGCATAGATTCACGATCAGCGAAGCTCGGCAGCCGGTCGCACCCGACGACTCGGTCCATCTCCTCTTGTGCTTTTGCTTGAATGTGCGGGAATTTAGCCGCTGCCAGGAAATAGGCAGTGACAACGGAAACAGTCTGAAACATTGCTCGAGTGAGCTGGCAGACACAGAAGATCCACACGGTCGCCTTTTACACACCGTGTCAGATCCGGCTGAAATCGAGAATGCATAAATACGACGCTCACTGGTCCGATAGAAAGAGAAACGAACCTCCGTAAAGTGACGCTGCTGACCACTTGATATCTTCGCGCTCTTGCAACGACAGATCGGGCTGGATTAGCAAGTCTGCGACGAACGAGTTACTGGCTTGGCCGCTATGCTGGATCTCAATTCAACACTGAAGCGAGACCTGCGAAAAAAAAACGAAAGCTCACCATTTGCCTCTGCACGTAGTCCAACGGAGTCTGCGCCATCATGTCACATGCCGTGTCGTATTTTTTGGCGAGTCGCTTGAAGTGGGCGCCAGGAAACCTGGCACATAGCATTAGCAGGCAGGAGATGGGCCGTCAGTTTTGTAGAGAGCATACCATGACGGCACATATTTCACTTTCCCGTGCACTTAGCATAGGCTCATCTCCACGAAAACAAATAAACAATATACAGAGCGGGAGAGCCTCCACCAAAAAGGCACCTGGTCGCATGATCTCTGTAAATTGACTCATGGCCTAGGCGAAATCCCAAACTCAGTCACGAAATGGAGAGGAAGAAGAGAAATGCACGGACCCCATCTACTAGACTGACAAAGGAATCCTCTCCCTCCTCCGAAATCTTATAACCATACGTAATGTGGAGAATCGTTGCCGATGCCGTCGTCCTGGCGGCCTTCAGTGGTCTTAGCATTACAATCCTCAATTCGATGCAGAAGGTGCCCACGTCGCGAAACGCGGAAGGATTGGACAGGATTCGCTTGAGAAGCATATTTCCCTGCCACTCTTCCGCAGAGTGGAACTTGGCCATGCTGTTCTTGCTCCCGATGACTTGGCTTACGAGTTTCCGGTACTCCCTCAACCTAGAGAGAGATTTTAGATCAGTTCTGTCGTCTCAACGGAAAGAATATCTACCGCGGCCCGTAACGAAGACTATAAAACGTCAATCCAACTCGTCCTCAAAGTGCGGAAAGATACGCGTACCTGCTCAGAACGCGATCCCAGCCAGACAGCACAGCCATTTCGGACGTGGGCCGATCAGCATAGTCGTTGCCCCGCTTGTCCAGGATTTCCGCGGCAATGGCGGGGTCGTTGATGATAATGAACGGCTGGCCCAGAACAGTGATAGACACAAGTCCGCCTGTAAGTTTTGAGCAAGAGACCGATGGAGGAGCCTTTGTGGCACGAGCCGAATTTCTCTCCCCACTCCGCGAACGTGGTCCAAGCGTGACTCTTAGGCATGTCCAGCACATTGCCAATGAGCGGCAAGCCCGGCGGACCGGGAGGCAGAGCGTGGCGATTGCGCCTCGAATAAAGAGCGCAGGCGCCAAGTGCGATCGCTGCACTGGCCACAGCGAAATCGGTCGGAGTAAGCTGCACCATAGCCGTGGGTATCGGAAAGAATCAACTGTGCGTTACGGGCTTATAAACAGCCCAGTTGCCGAATGTTTGCCGCGACCTTGAGAATTCTGATAGACAAGGAAGATCTCCAGAACGGACAGTGGAGTCGATTGTCTACCCGGACTCCGTCGTTCGTGACAAGGCCGATCACTGGTTACAGTCAATTCCCTGAAGAAGTAGCGAGCCTCTGACAATAGTATAAAGCAAGTGAGATAGAGAATTCTTGCATTGTGTCCTTGAGCTTGAACCCAAGCATATCGAGCGATTTTGTCTCCACAATGCCAGGGCACTCATTTAACGAGAGACAAAGCGCAGAACCACGAATAAAAAGCCCTGAAATCAAAATGACGGTGATTACCGAAAACAATTTGGACAAACACTTATGTAAGGAGAGTGGTTGATGTTTGATTCGCGCGGTCACGCGTCTGGTCCCCCACCCTTCTCACGACTCTACTCATCCACTACCGCCGCGACCCCCCCTCCCCGGTGCCTTCCACATGGCATCCAGAATACCGGTGGGTGCAATGTCTCCCGCATACACCCTGCCATCTCCCGCTGACCGCTCCCCGCAGATTCGACGCGCAGCGCGCACCCAAGGAGCCGAGAACGAAAACGCCGTGGGCACCGCAAAGCCCACCCACGGCCCCGCGCGTGCCAAGGTCCTCGGAAAGACCTCTGGCAGTACCACAGCATCCCGCCCACACAAGTCCAGCCACGACACCACGGTGGCAGCGACCAAACCTGCCCGCGAGCCGCGAGACGATGACGCTTTGGCGAAGCGCAAGCGCGAGGCCTTGCGCGACAAGACCGATGCCCGCAGCGCAAACATGAAGGGGAAGGAGAAGGCGGACCGCAAGATACTCGGGTTGCCGAAGAAGACCGCTGCGGCGGACACGGTGGCACCGGCTGCACGCGCACCGTTACGTGTCGTCAGCGCGGCAGGTGCTGCTCCGGCACGCGACTCGACAGCCGTCCCCGCCGCTGGGACGCGTATCCGAGAAGAAACTGTGCTGCGCAAGGTCAGCAGGCGCCCGTCGTTGCTACCAGTGCCCCAGCAGGACAAGGAATCCGAGCTGGAAGTGTTGGCAGACGAAGAGGACAATGAAGCTGTAGAGCCTAGTCCTAAACGTCTCCGCACATCCTCAGTTGCACCCGAGGACATGCAAGCTGAGGAGCAGGTCGCTGCGGAGCTCGACGCTGTCACTGACGACGAGGAAGCCGACCCTGATGGAGACCTTTGGGAGGACCTCGACGCCCAGGATGCCGACGATGTTCTTATGGTCAGCGAGTATGTGATCGACATTCAGCGTTATTTGCGGGATGTCGAGGTACGCGTTTTTAACGCTTATTTTCCTTATCGTCGCTTACGCCACCACAGCTGAAAACGATGGCAAATCCTCGATACATGTCAGCTCAAGGAGACCTAACCTGGTCGATGCGCGGAATGCTCAACGAATGGTTGATGCAGGTCCATCTTCGCTTCCGGCTTCTTCCAGAGACCCTTTTCCTATGCTCCAATCTCATCGATCGATTCCTTTCCGCGCGGATCGTGTCGCCCACCAAACTGCAGCTGGTCGGCATGGGATGTCTCTTGCTGGCCTGCAAGTTCGAGGAAACGGTGTCGCCGTCGATCAGCAGCCTAGTCACCATTTGCGATAACGCGTTTGATGCTGCAGCCATGCGCCAGGCAGAGCAGCACATCTTGCGCACACTCGACTGGGACCTGAGCTACCCCAGCCCGATGCATTTCCTGCGCCGGATTAGCAAAGCGGACGGCTACAATGCGACGACGCGTACCCTCGCCAAATATCTGGCCGAGATCTCGTGCATCGACCATCGCCTGATCTCCGTCCCGCCATCGATGTTGGCCGCTGCTGCCATGTGGCTGGCACGCCTCTCGCTGGGCGAGGACTCCTGGACCCCGACACTCGCTCACTTCGCTATGTACCGCGAGAGCGAGATTATTCCCGTCGCGAATGTCATGATCCGCTATGTTTTGCAGCCGATCAAGCACATGGAATTCTACAAGAAATATGCGGGCAAGAAAAATATGAAGGTGGGTTTGTTAGCGATGCTTTCTCCCCGGATCGCTGTACTGATCGTGTTTGTAGGTCAGCGTCTATGTGCGCCAGTGGGCCATCGGTCAGTGGGGCGAGGGCACCCGCATTGATCTGCAGGAAGAGCTTCCCGCGCTCAAACGCAGCCTTCGTACTGGACATGCGGTGCAGGTCTTGGCCGAGCCTGATGAGAATGACGCTACTGCTGCAGAGCATGTCCTCGACGAGGAGGAAGCGGAAGCCTAATGATAGGTCCGATCTTACCTTACATTGCTACCTCTGCTGGATTTACGGGCTTCTGGGCGCAAAAGCTGTAACTTATTGCCTGCTTCATCATCCATTCATCATTATGCATATGTTCCACAAGACCCAATACATCCTCTGAAGCGCTACCTCGAGCGCTGGCCTACTGCGAGACTGCGGCTAGTGTACTCATCTCATCTTTATCCTATCATACTGCACCTGCTATATCATGTCCGTAGCCAGCATCATCTGTCCGAAATCTTCAAAGCCCATTGATTTGTCGGGTGAGGTCGAGAACTCTTGTAGCATCGCTATGAGCTGTGTGATCAAGCACCGTCAGGGGGGACATGATCACTTGGGGCTACTCGCGGAAGACTGACCTCCTCTGCCTTGTACGGCACATTAACTAGCTTGTGCGCATTCTGCAAGTCTAGTATCATCAGCCTCTTTGCCAACAGCTCGGAGTCCGGGACTGAGTCTGGGAAGAACAGGGCGTAGGTTTCGAGACATGCTGCCCGCTGCCGGGATGTGAGTGTTTTGGGGCTGGAGGGTGATTCCGAAAGGGCGCGTTTAGCATTTCGTCTGGTTCTTCGACGGCGCTGGTCCTGATCTGAGCCCCAGTCCGAGTCACTAGGATCGTCATTGTCGTCGTATACGTCGTCCTCGGCGCCATCATCATCCTCGTCTTCGTCCGCAGAGAGCTCGTACGCAGCACCATCAGGCGCGCCGCCGGTTTCGTGCCCGTCTGAGTCACCGCCCTCGAAAAGGACCGCGCACACCGAGCGCCAGTCTTCCCGGGACACGAAGCGCAGGTCCTCCGGTGCATGCGCGCCGATCTCTTCCGCTTGGTTCGTGGACGACTGCCATCCGGATGCAGCGTTCTTGAACACGAGCAGCACTTGTTCGTCGTCTGGGGACAGACCTATACTAGAAAGCGCGGCAGGGATGGCAGTGAGTGAGATGCGGGCTGACTCGTTCGAGTCAGGCTCGTCCTCGACAAGGAAGCCCCCGCCGCCGATGAAGCCGCCGTCATTCGAAGAGTCATTTATTCGATGATCATCAAATGCACTATCTATGCGGTGCTGCAAAGCGCTTGAGAGTTCGAAAAACGCGTCAATGGAGGACATGATGGAGAGGTTATGGCGTCACGTGGACGTCTCTTGATGATTATGCACAATTTACTCTAATAGGCCCGTATATAATGAGATTGGAGTGCAAATAGATAAGGATGGATGAATGCCAGTGCGCGCGTGCTTGTACATGGAAAGTGTGAAGTTGTTGACAATGATGATGCAGTGAGAAAGGATAAATATGTATGCCGAAAGTCATCGCCAGTCGTAACAGCAGCACCGCCAGGGCGCTCTCAGATCTTGAGTTCGCGGAAGCCACGGACGTCAACACGACCCGTTCCATTCCGTTGCCATTCTCCAGTTCCCTCGTCGTACCGCCCACCCGGAATGATGATCTTGCCCGCACTCTTCGCTGCCGCAGCCGTGACTCTCGTCTTCGGCAACCCCAGTGCTTTCCGCTGCCGGCGGGTGAGTTTAGCCGGCACAGGAGCCGGGGCCGGGACTGGTGCTTGGATTGGAATAGGCTCAGGAGGCGGGCTGGGGCTCAAGCTTGATAGACTCGACAAGCTTGAGCACGATGAAAGGGCTGGGGGAGACAGCGACAACGAGGTTCCGCTGTTTCCACTATTCAGGTCCTCCGCTTCTCCCTCTTCATCGTCATCATCATCGGCGTACTCCTCGCCAGAATCCATCTCCTCGTCAGCTTCGACATCTTCATCCTCCTCCTCCGGTGTCTCCTGTTTGACGGCAGGCGCATATGAGCTCCGTGTCCGCTTTGCAACACTCTCACTCTCGCTACCCGCGCTTCCGCTGCTCTCGTCGAAGCTCCGTTTGGGACTCCGCTGGACTCGAGACGTGCCGCTCGCACTGGACGACGAGCGTAATCGACCGGGGCTTGGCGGGGGCTGCGGTGCGGTACTCTTCACTGGAGAGGCACTCGATAGTTTGAGCCGTACTTTCTGTATCTTGGGTTTGGCAGCAAGAGTAGCCTGTTGGCGCTCGGCTTTGGCCCGGTCCTTGGCCTCGCGCTCCAAACGTTTGCGCTCCTTAGCATCAGCTTTGGATTGTTTAGGATCGGCGTGGGAGGTGGAGGGCTCGGAAGGGTAGGGATAAGAGATGGTCTCTCGGACAGATGGAAGGCCTGTATGCGGGCCTTTCAAGTTACGTATAGAGGAAAAGTGTTCCCAGTCGTGATACCTGTGACGTGTTCAAGATGATAAACAAAATAGGGAAAGATAAAGAGCATGAAGACACTCTGTTAGCCACTCACGCAACATAGACAGTCCCATCTTGTGGTTCTGGCGAAGAATCTGCGGCATCAACATCGATAATCTCCGAGTCCGCCAAACTGGATAGACTCGACGTCGATGACGACGCCGAGCGTGAAATCGTCGGCGAGGACAAAGCGCCTCCCGCCGCCCATTCGATAACATAGACCAGTCCGGGTTGGATGACCTTCACATTGCGCCGCATGAGGTGTGCGAACGCGCTCAGTTCCATGTGGCCGCCGTACGTCGCTGGCGAGTGCGCAGTCAGCAAGAGATCGATGGAAGTGGAGCGAGCGCCGGCACGAAGATCTCACCATTTTCGCGCATACATCTCAGATGCTCGTCGATCCCCCGCTCATCCTCGACGAACGGTTCGTAGCGTGACTTGTGGTGCGCTATCCAGTTGCATATATCTTGCCGGAGCTGGGGGTGACGGGATGGCGTGCCATACAGCTGATCGCTGAGCGCGCGGAATAAACAATTCCCGTCGCCGACCGTGGGTGCGGCGTATAGTCCTAGTGACCGCAGCTGCTCTGTCAGCAGTTCTGTGTTGTACATTGGGTCCGAGAGGAGCTACAATAGCAACGACAAACGGTTGTCAGCGAGGTTATACCCCAGCGTGATGAAACGAGTCTGACTCACCCGCCCCTTGCTCGAGCGCGTGTTTCTCGGCCGCACTGCGCGAGATCAGAGAAACTGCAGGGGACGGAAGGGACCCGGCGGCCTCACTCTGCGTTTGTAACTTCTTCGAGGACTTCTTCGGTTGGCCCATGTTGGAGGGGTAACGGGTGGGAATCCAATCTATTGCGGGGGAGGATTGAGTGGGGACGTTGTCGTGGTGCAGAAGAGCGGAGTTTGAATCGGAGATGAGCAGGATGGCAGTGCCGAATCTAAGTGCTGGTGTCAGATTAAGTTGGTCTAGATTGGGCGTTCAGTGCGAGACTACTCACCCCGTTTTAATGTAACGCCAGTCGTGCCGCTGCCGCCTTGGAATTTTCGAAAACTAGTTTGTCCGGGGGAGAAAGGCGGAGAAAGTGGAGCCACTGGGAGGCTGAAGCTGCTCTGTTGTCATAGAAACAACATCTGTGACGAATCTAGACTCTATGTACTGATCATCAGGTCTGCGAAAAACGTGTCCGCACCTCAGAGTCCTGTCTAGTTCACAGGTGCCGAGCGAGACCCGTTTCATTCATTCATGTTCGAACGAGATATATGTAGTAAGGATACATGTAGATAGCAATGCGTATCAAATGGTATTCCGAGTGCTACTTGGCAAGCTTGACGGTGCTCGGTCCAGCCGTCAACCAAACAGGATACGCTTCCGGCCAGAGGGAGGGTTCCGGCTGTGTGGGCGAGCTGCTCCTCATCTTCATCTCTTCGTCTTGATCAGCGGCAGCATGCATATCCAGGGCTTGGATGCGGTCGATTAAGCGACGACCGGTGTTAGCTGTAGTACAGGGCAAAGACTTGGCGCGCTGGAACAGAGACGGAAACGAGTCACTAGACTCGGACCCAGACGATGAATCAGTAAGCATCTCAGGCTTCTTGCCAATCTTGTGAGCCTTTTTCCTCTTGTAAGTCGAGACGCGAACAGGACGATATGCAAGCGTAGGTAGGGGCGAATCAACTAGACGGAAGAGGTTGTCGATCCGAGAAGGTAAGACACTACGGCGGCCAGTTCCATCGTTCTGTCCCGCCGAAGCAGAATCTGGAGTAGCCAAGTGATCGAAGACAGTCGAAGGTCTTGCTCCATTCTTGCGTGCAGGAGTGCAGATAGATTCGGATCCACTTGCGGCAGAGCGAAGGACCAAAGGGGATTCCGGCTCGACCTTGCAGCGGTCTTGTGTATAGACAGGAGAAGGATAGATGCTGGACAATATCGACGTGGCAGCGAAACCTTTGGCAAAGGGTAAAGCATGACTCGTTGTCCCCTGCGCTTGAGTGTTCGACCCGTAGATTCTATCCAAAAGCGATGCAGTTTGCACAGGTTCAGATTTGATTGCAACCGGAGTAGAATGTGCGTGAGGAGATGGAAAAGCGGCAGCCCCCCTTCGTTTCTTCTTGATACTCTTGAGATTTGGAATCGTGAAAATGGGAGTCGAAGTAGCGTTTGCTGTGTCACTGCGCCGGGGAGATTGAAGAGCCTCCTGTTGAGGGGTCATTTGAACGCGATTCTGAAACAGTCAGAACAGATGGTCCCAATGTTTGCGGTGACTCACCTCTTTCCCCCTGACACGGCCCCCGCGATTCATGAGGGATACAGAATGCCCTATATTCATCAGACAAAGCCAAAGAGGAAGAAAAAGCTCACCTTCACCAGGGGAGCTGCGGTTGGGCCCACTGGCGATCTTTCCGGACGGGGTTGCACGCTTCCCGATCGGCGAGGCCGCTTGCGCTTGCAAAGGGACTTTCGCTCTGTAGAGGGAGATAAGGTCGCTCTTCACTAGCTCAACAAGCGGACCGAAAGTATCGTAAGCCCAGATGTTAATCTCATCCCGGGTGAGTCGGCGGCAGTACTCTTCAAACTTGACTGCGGCTTTGGTAACGTGTGACGTGAGGCGGGGAGAGCAAGAATACACGCCAGCGCGTATCAAGAGCGCGGTGAGAAAGTAGTCGCTCACAAACGCTCGACAGATCATCTACGAGGGAAGGAACAGAGAGGTGAACAGACTCGCCCAGGGTAAGAGGGGGGTGGAGGTGCGTACTTGGATAAATAAGTCCGAAACGTCGTCCGGCACTGCTTGTCTAACAATCTTGCAGACGAAACCAAATATGCGTAGATGTTCTGGAGCCGCTGAGATGAAACAGTTTGGGCTCGAGGTGGGGGAAGGGTATATATGCCGTTCGTCAAACTTGACAGTAAAGTTGGAATTTTCGAGCGCTGTGAAGAGAACCTGCTGGGCGAGAGAGATAGAAGACAGCCAGCATATGTCAGGCATGATGTGCAATGGTGATGTGGGAAGTATGAGAGCGAACTTGAAAGATTGCAAAGCGAGGTCACATGAGCGTCACAGATCACTTGACCGTGACAGGGCGTGAAGGACATTGGGTGCGCCGCGGCGTTGGGGCTGAGAAAATGGGGTAACTTCTCTGTCTATACATACCGTGGTTCTGGTATGTTTTGGACGATTTCGTTCCATGGCGCGTGTGCTCGTTCTATCAAAGTTGACACGAAGCGATGTTGAAGCGGCGTCAGCTCCCAGCCTTCTCAGCGTCCGGTTCGAGAACGCGCACGATGGAGACGGCAAGCTAACTCCGACCACTGCTTTTGTAGAAATTAACCGGAAGTCTCCACCAGTCTCGCGTCATGCGGCACACCGGCCAATTTCGGGGGAGATGCTTCGGAAGAATTCAGCCGTTGCCCCACTTCAGAAGGATACGTCTAAATTTCCACGCTGTTGCAAATGATCTACCATTCTCAGGCGTTCTCCGCGCGAATATCGGTCTCTTTCTCCTCCAGGTTTTTCTCATCGCGTCTGCGGTGCTCCTCGTCATCCGTGAGCCGCGCGCGCACAGTCCTTCCGCCATTCTTCCGGGCGTCCCAGACGCCACCTGTGATACCGCCTTTCTCGAAAATAACATCGATTTCCTCCAACTCGAGACCTTTCGTCTCTGGGAAAAAGAAGTAGACGAGAGGCACCCAGCAGGCGTTGAAAACGGCAAAAATGATGAACACACGCCAATTTATCTTGGCGATGGCTGGCCTGGGGTCGAGACCGAACATCTTGAGCGACCGATCAAGATTCGGGTGAGAGATGGCCACTCACGGTGTCATCTGAACCACTGCGAACACACACCTAATCAAGACGTCACTCTCTGCTGGTAAGCATGCCATCGCACTCACATCCAGTTGAAGAAACTGGAGATGGCAGAGCCACGAGCGCGAATTCGTGTCGTGCTGATCTGTTTTGGGCTTCAGCTCGTGCATAAGCAGAAGCCTCGAGAGCACGGACCTCAGCAGGATACAACCAAGGCTAGTTGCTTGATCAGCAAGAAAGCTATACCGGACATGTCACCGAGCGCGCTTACAATCGGCAGATAACCAATACCCAGGAAGATCTGGAAGATGAACACCATCGCCGTGGCCCCGAAGGCAGCCGGTTTCGTTCCCGTGGACAGAAGGATCGCCGCCAGGATGAAGCACAGAGAAAGGCCGGCAGCGGAAAACATCAACAGCGGGCGCCGACCAAAGCGATCTACGGTCTGATGCATGCCGTTTAGTCTCTGTCAGCCTTCAGGAAATAGACCATTACCCAGAGCGGAATGAAAGAAGCGACCATATAGGTAACAGCCGTGAATCCGCCGAGAATGAGACTGAGATTCCGGGATAGACCCATGGTGTTCTGATACACCACCGGCGCGAGATAACTGATTGAATGGACTGAGACCGCTATGTCGGTAAACTAGTCAGATCGACTGACTTGATCATATTGGCCCTATCGAGACAGCGTTCAGAGTGTATTTGATTGATTGTTGGCTTGGACTCACCCTGTGAATTGCTGCATGACGTTCACGCCAATGCATAAACAGATGCGCCGGAAATTACCAACAGGCCCGCCCTGGAAGAGCTCCTTGTACTGGAAAGGACCTGTCCGAGCACATCAAATTGGAGAATGATGGTAAGGGATGGATGCGCCACTGCCGACCTCCTTCTGACTCAACGCTCAGCGAGTGTTCGATTTCCGCCTTGACTCGCTGAACATCGGGGTGATCTACCGATTCATGGCCTTCTAGCATAGCAATCACACGGGCGCCTTCGTCACTGCGGCCGTGGGCGATCAACCAACGTGGGCTGTCCGGCAACATCAAGCACTAGACAAACAAACACAGAGCAAACACAGCCTGGAACCCAACAGGAAGGCGCCACTGCGCTGGCCCTGAGTGGAACGACATGCCATAATCGAGCCTGGCAAGTCTTGAGAGGTGAACCAAGTTCCAGGAAGAAACATTACCAGTAAGCCTGGTAAGGATGAGTCCAGTATCGAGCGAAGACAACAATAGATCGAACGCACGATAACGAGGCCGATGATAGTGACAGTCGAGTTTAGGCACACGAGAGCTCCGCGGATTTTCCCAGACACCGTTTCGCTCTGATATACAGGGACCGAAGACCTACTCAGATGAGTGTAGAACCAGATCGGACCCAATGAGGCCTACGAGTTGAAGCCATTGCCGATGCCCTTCACAGCCGCTTCAGTGTTTTCGCGAAAGAGATTAGAACGCAAGGGTCTCACCGTGACCACCCTCCCCACATAAAGCTGTGCAATCGTGGTACTGCTGGTCAAGATTGCCTGCGGAGTGATGAGATCATGTGCCCAGTATACTTGATTAGGTAAACTTGCCGTGCCAATGAGCATCGTTCCAACCCCGAAAAGGATCATTCTTTTACGCCCAATCGACTCGCCGAAGAAGAATACCACCAAGCTTCCTACAGCGCATCCGATATCCTGGTAGCAGTTAACGCTTGGGTCAATTCGCTGGCACAAGTGACACGACGCACGTAGATCGCTACAATAGTTCCTTGCGAAGTGGGATTGGGATGCCCGAAGTCCTTCCCAAACTGGTTGTCCGCGCCAATCTGGACAACACTTTAGAGATGGGCATAGGTCATAGCATTACCATAGAGGCTGACGATTCCGGACATCACACCCTGGTCGTATCCAAGAAGCAGAAAACCTGCGTTCAATCTCAGATCAGACCCAGCTCCTGCGGTGGTCCCTGTGAGCTTACCTTGACAGCAACAGGCTGCGCATCTCAGACTTGCCGAGCTCCGAGACTTGGGTAAGGATGCACTCACCCGTGATAGCCCACACGAGAGCCTTTCCACGAAAAGGAGCGATCCACATTCCCGGATGATTAAGTTGTACCGAAGGCAAGATTGCTCAATGACAGGCAGCTCTTTTAAGAGCCCCACCTTCCTCCATCTCGCAGGCCGTGGGGCGCAGAAGGAAACATGAGAAGTTTCGACCCGTCAGGTGACGTTCAGCTGACTTGAGGAGGCGGGAACCGGCACCGCACGGCGCGGAACGTCATTCTCATGAGATATACATGTCCGTGAGTGCTAGATAAGTTATGATAATGATGAAGACAGGCAAAGCAGGTGCGAAGGAACGACTTGAGGTGTGGGCAGCGGACCGAGGACTTCAGTCTAGCTTCAATGCAGGCGCGCTAACCGCAGTCGCAGTCGGTCCCGTGAGCTCCGTGACAGGGGAGGACCCAGAAGAGGTCCAGCGCTCAAACAGCGTACGCAACTGCTTGTGTGATTCCACCCCGACGAGCTCTATGCGGTCCAATATCTCACAAATGCGTTGCACGATACTTTGCACGTCGGGAAGCTGAGCAGGCCAGGTCGGCGAGCAGCACGGGAAAGGAATGCTGCGACCATAGAGTGCAAGGAACTCTGCGTCTGCAGCAGCGATAAGCTTGATAGACTGCTCCGCTTTGAGCCGATGGGACTACACACTGATTGGCACAAAGCAACGCGAGAAAGAGTCATACACGCACATGAACGACGTCGTCGTCGCTCTCGCCAGCAAGAGCCAACGCTTCCATCTGTTCCGCAAGGATGGTGGTCTGATTCATCACGGACACCCCGATGCGCGACAGCTCCGCCTCCGCCTGAGTCGCTTCCTTCAGCAGCACCGCGGCCTCGGAGGGGCCGATGCGGTTGTAAAGCACTTGAGACAGGGTGACGATCGCACCCAAAATCGTCGAACTGGTGGCGTGATAGATCTCTGCGGTACTGCGCGCAGCTTGCGCCCGGAGGTAAATGATGGCGATGTAAAGCGAGTAACCCTGCACGAGTTGAGAGGCGTTGGTGTCCAGGTTCTCAATAGAGAAAGAGCGAGATGCTCCTGGGGTGACTGGATCTCGTATCGCCTTCGCGAGGAAACGCAGGCCGCGTTGCTGACGACGGACGTGCTGAATCAGACTTGAGCGAGAGGCAGTGTCGTTCGCGTCTACATTAGGCGAGTACTGGAAGACCTTGCAGGAGATCCTGTCTACTATCTCTCTGAAAGAGTAGCACACCGAGGACAGAATGTGATGCGCGTCCAGATGCCAATCGATGTCGTCCGGGTCCGCGACGATAGATATGTGAATGCTATACGCTGTGCAAACGTCAGAAGAAAGAATAGGACGTGACGAACGAGTTGCGCACACAACACATCCGCTAGGATGGTGAACAGCAATTCATTCGGCAAGACCAAGTGTTGAGGCATGGAAATCGAAGCCAAGGCCCGCTATAGGTCACGTGTCGGATCTGATGGTTCGGGTGATCCGACATCCAAGTCCCTGGGCCTTTTTCACCTTTACCTCCATGTTCGCTTGAACGCTCGCTCGAATCTGCTTTTCTCGATAAGTAGCGGAAGCAATCCGGGATGCGATAGACTCTGTTTCCTGGAAGGATAGGATCGGCGATTAAAGATGAGCCAGGGGCCTCATGGCATCCGCATGGCATCAGCAATGTAGGTAGGCATCCCAGCTGGCCCAGGGCCAGATCGATGAAGTTGACATGTATCCCCTCCGAAGTGTGTGCACTCCCAACACTGTGTCCGAGACTATCCCCACTTGAGCCATTGAGGGCGCCCTATCATAGTCACCCTCAACGGAGCATCGGAGATCCGGTCCAGTCAAGAAAGCCGATCAAGAATGGTCTCCCCGCTGTTGCCTTTGTTGCTCTCCGGGACTCCGCTCGCGAACTTGAACCTTACCTCCGCCAGTGCCTCGGCAGTCTCACAAAGACCCACGGCTCCCGCACGCCTCCGCCCTATATGTAAGGTCGACGACAAAGGACATGGTCTGTTTCGACTGATAGATCGATCGGGTGTGCTGGGGTCCTGGCACTCCGTGACTCGAGGACATGTATATGCTTATTGGAAGCCTCTGATGACCGTTCCCGACGTCATAAGCGTGCTCGTCGTTGATGGCGGCGCGCTCGAGCCCTTCGGCTTGCGCCGCTTTCAGGGGAAATCCCCTGCCCTTCTCTTGAAATATGAACTCAGTATATAGCTCCTGGCCTCGGAGGAGGTGCAAGTGGAGGTACGACCAGGCCAATCTGCTGGCGATGTCTCAAAAATATTTCATTTATGGTCAGTTCTGACGGACCGATATGCGAAAAAACGGCTGAAATCAGAGATTCGGCAGGGCAATTATATTGCAGACTATGTCCTCTAATTTGGTGCTTCTGATCCGCGAGGTAGCTTCAAACTCCGCTAGATAACATAAGGCACTTGTGATGAGCCTCCTGCCAGAGGGAAAATCATGTAATTTTTCTAGTGCCATTCTAAGGAGTTATTGTGAAAAATGGAACAAGTGTTAGTGGCCTCTGAGCTCGAGGAACAGATCACAGCACTTTTTTTTTTTGCTAACACGTGGTTGCTGTGCCGCCGGCATCCAAACGCCGACGCTTCCGACATCGACTGTGATCGGGGCAAACTGTTCCGATTTCATCCCCTCTTCCACTTCTTCCTCTTTCGATTTACTCTTTTATTTTGATATTTTCCACGCACCTCCACCAGTATCGAGCCAATATTATCAGTTAGAACGCGTCCGTGCGCATCCCGAATCAGGGAACGCGTCGTGTCTACTGGAACACGTGACGGCACGGTCATGTTATGCAGACGTGATGACATGACTATGACACCGTAACAATGTGACACTGAGACCCCGACTCTGCATCACGATCATCCTTTCCTAAAACAGACCATGTCCTTTGTCGTCGACCTTACTATATGGCACAGGCTATACCCGAAATCGTACTCCCCTTCGATCAGAAGCTGGCATGCGACCACCCACCTTCATCAGTCAGTATGGATCTGATGTCAGCTGAGCATCCCGGCCGGGCCCATTGAAACAGACAGCGAGCGGCCGCCTCTTCTTCCATACCTCGTCAATAAGCACCATCAACAGTCCGCGGCGCGGAATTCGACGCCGGGGTCTCTGAAGTCTGTCGCATGTTCTCGATCCCGAGATCTAGGCTTCAGCATTCTGCTACTGCTCCTACTGCAGGCTACTTCTGCTGCTGCTGCTCATGCGGGCCAACGGATCTATCGCTGATAGGCGGTGTGAAAGGCGACGAACTTGTTAGCCTCCTTTGAACTGTTTATAGCGCTCTGAAAATGTTCTCGGAGCATCTCTCATAATATCACGGCATCGGCTCAAACGTGAAACGTGACAGAACAACTGCCTGCGATATGTCATGGACATCATATCCGGGCGGTTCTCTGGCTGGGTTCTACTTTTTTGGCCGACTTCTCCACGCTGCTTGTCGCCTGCATGCCTAATCCTCTGGTGCCACCGGGGAACAATAAATTATACGAGAAAGCGGCCAGGCCGTGCCAGGTAATTTTCTCGGGCCTGTGCAACCGCAGTTTCGTTCCGGTGGGGATATCAGATGCGGTGCATACATTGAAGTGGGCCGCGCCTACCACTCGGTGTGTGCTGATGGAACCTGACTTTGATGTCATGATATCCTTGCTAACGCGGTGTGTTTGCTCGTCGCCCCAGTCCTGGCTGCCGATCGAAGCGCTAGCCACTCCTTGACGCGATCCTTGCATCTCCGGCGCCCGGTCCAGTGGCACGATCTCTGAATCGTTGACGACAGAGCACATTCTGCTTTCAATCGCAGGGCTTCTATCCGTGACCCCCCGATTTTTACCGCCCTCAATCTCCAAGTCTCACAGCTTTCAGCTTTACGTTGCCCCCCTTCTTCTGGAAATTCTCCGGGCCGGTCCTATTATTCGGAATATGCGACTCAGAATTATTTTCGCACTCTGATCCGTCGCGACTGAGGCTGCAACGCGCTTGGGATCCTTGCGGCATACATACATAAATTTGATACAAATTCTAAGGAGGATATACTACTACATAGCGAGCTGGTATGCTCCGGTATCGAAAGCAAAGCCGGAAAACAGGCAGAAGAGCATAGCACAGCACATATTAAAGCACATGCACATAGTGTGTTATCGTTGCCTATCCGGACTGCGATAACTTCCGCGGGAAGCGGACCGATTTGACGGCGGTGGCGAGTACGGACTGGAGAGAGCCATCGAGCTTGGCTCCGCTTCGTCGAACGAGGTGTCCCGGGGCGTGCCCTCGGTCGAAGCCACGCTCTCTACTTCATCCGTGTCATGCGACGGAGCGGCCTCCGGGGTGCTGTTGAGATGGGCGCCCGGCTTGCGCCGCTTCCTCGGCCGCTTGTGGCCTTCCCCGCCGGACAGATCGAGTTCCCAGTAGCAGCCCTTGCCGATTTGCTTCATGTCGCGGGGCACCTTGCGGAATACTTTGTTCAGGGAGAGGTTGTGCCGGACGGAGTTCTGAGAAACGAATTAGATGGATAAATGTGCAGGGAGAGCGAGTCCGACCTTCCATGCATCGTCCTGCTGATGGTTTCGGAACCAAGTGAAGCGCCCGATGAGCGCATCGCAGATTCCCTGCAGGGTCAGCCGGCGCTGCGGGCTGCCGTGAATGGCCAGTTTGATCAGGGTGGGGAGCGAAGCGTAGGGCTTGGCACCATCCACGGGATCCGCAATGGCCCACAAATTGACTTGCACATTGGGGAGGAGGCAAAGCTGCTGTCGCAGATAGTTTGTCGCGTGATTATACTGGAGATTCCGGTAATCGGTTTCATCGAGCGTGCGCCACCGCTGCTCCTGGGAGGGTAACTGGGACGTGGACGGTCTTGGTGGTTCTGGGACAGGGTCCTGAGCGGAAATTAAGCAGTAGAACGAGAGCAGGCGATGGGGCGCACATTCAGGATGATTCGAAAGTAGTCCGGACCGTTAAGCTTGAGGCGGCGAGTTCCGTTCGCGGACGATGACGCATGGCTGTGAGGATTGATCGGCGGGAGTGTGGCGCGGGTATCGCGAGGGGGCGGGAAGGTGTAGACCGGGTGGGACGATGGGTCGCCTTGCATGGCTTGCGGGGCGAGCGCGTTCTGAGGAGTGCTATAGTCGGGAACAAGAATGTATATGATGATCGGAATCAAATATTATGCCCACTTGGTTTTGATCTGATGGTGCTTGTGGTCGCATTGTTCCCAGTTAATGCCAGCTGTTCGCCATCAGAAATTCCGCGACAGCGGCGGCGAGTCATGTGGACGTGATTCGTCCGAGTTCTCTCATCGTCCACGGTCAAATCCGGAAGTTGCGCATGCAAAATCAGGGCCGCGGAGTTTCAATGGCGGCGGAGTGCCAAAATCCATCACAGTGATCAGCCCGATTGGCGCAGATCATGCGGTATTTTGCTCCCGCGGCTCCAATGCCGCGGAAACAACTGCGGGAAGCTATCCGAAGCTATCCGAACCAGCACACGCTCTCGCTTGCTCCGTTGGCAGCGATAATCGTGGGGAGATCGTCCCCTTGGCGCGTCCAAAGTGGGCGCCTTGATCGAGAACAAATCCAGACCTAGGGAGCGGCGAGCCATCCGTTATCGATCCAGCCACTAGTGGACAGAGCCTTCGCACGACCCTCCCTCGGAATCTAAGCACAAACCCATGATGCTGCGCGGCTGTTGCCGGTGACACACCGCACCCACCTGAGTCACATATTACAGTATCTCCCACATGTGTATTGGCACAACCGCACTCCGGCTCGGGAACGCGCGCCGACTCCGCCTGAGTCATTCCTGGAATGCACCGAGCAAGCTTATGACTTGAAACGGCTCGAAACTCTTCGTGATCAGCTTCTGCTAAGATCTGATGCAACCGTGTGCTGATGAGATGCGATGCACGACGCGTTTGCGCCCTGGGGAGCAACGTCATTCCAGGGAAGTCAGTCCAACAGGCGACTACATCGGTAAAGAAGTCGAGATGACGACTCGGTGGCATCTTTGATGCGGACCTGCGTGAACACAATGTTGGCTGGCCCACAACATCGGCCATAACGGCGGCTATCTGCGCAGTTGCGAATCAGAAATGTCTCCAATGCAGAGAATGGATCAAGATCCTCGGTCCGGATGTTTTCCGGCCCGGGCATTGTTCGAGCGTTATGACAACCCATTTACTTCATATTCAAAATAAACCCGCTCGAATTCTCGTCAAAGGCAGCAGATATGTTATGAAAAGACAGAGAATGAAAGTGCACTTTGTATCCAGCTGTGTTTCAGAATGCGATGTCAAATGCTGTGCGCTGTGAGCAGAACGAATCTGAAATTGATCCGCAACACGTGAAAATTCGCAATCAACAACGGTCGGTCGGACGTCTTGCTCAAAAACCCGCACTGCCGTCGGCGAGCAAAGAATCCGGCTATACGGATTGCTCTCCGGAAGCATTATCGAGAGTCTTGCCTGCCAGACCGTAATGCGGATGTGTGGCAGCTGAGAAATCCAGAAAGAGTAATGATCAGATGTTTGATCCGCTCACAACATTAACCTCTCGTTTCGGCCAACGAACAACACAACTGCTTCGACTCAACGGATCACCGTAGCTGTCTTCGCGGCCCCGCAACGAGAGAACCGACGACGAGCTCGTGTCGTCCCTGGTTGAAGGAGACGCAGTTCGTCGCACTTCATGCTTGTTTCAGACGGCTTTGCCTTGCCGACAATCGATTCTTGGACTTTCTCCTGCAGACCATCACTCTGCTGGCAATCTCGCCCGAACACGCCGATGGCCAGCAAAGATGATGAACGATGTGGAACCCGCAAGTCTCGCTATATAATACCCTCTACCGTCGCACCCACTCCAGTTCTCCGTCATGTCCTCTCCAGAAAGCACCAGTAAACTACAACGCGGCCAAGCATGTTTCAATTGCAGACGACGTAAGAGAGTCAGTGCACTGTTATCTCATCCTACAGCTGTCTTCTAATGGCATCAGAAATGCGACGGCAACCTCCCCTGTGGACAATGTACACGAAATGACCTTGAGCGCCACTGCCAATTCAATGACGCGGAAAAGCGTCCTTTCGCGGATATTCTGCAGGACGACATCAATCGGCTGCAGCTCCGGATCCTCGAACTCGAGAATGCGGGCCTCCCCAGAGCCACTGCTAGCAAGTAGTCTTCGCTCTTCCCAGAAGCTTCGAGCTCATAGTATCATCAGGACCAGAACGTGTGTCCAGCGAGCCGCCACCCCAGCTGATGACGCAGCTGTATGTGCCTACTTCCAAACACTGCTCGTACGTCTAATTACTTCTCCCAGCGTCGATCACTTCCTAGAAAACGGATCTGAATTCGGATTATTTCTCAACATTCCGCGATTGAGACATTCGCGACCGAGCCCGGCCCTGCACTCGGCCCTAAATCTCTGGAGCATACATCTGTCTCGCGAACGATCGCTGCTTGTCCACGAGCCTGATTTTCTCACTCGCGCTTTGGCTCTCGCGAGTCGCGGTCTTGTGGACAATCACCCTCAGCGCCTCTTGCACACTATCCAAGCTGAGGTTCTGCTTGCCTATTATTTCTTCTCTTCGGGTCGCTTCTTGGAGGGCAAGTACCACACATTTGCTGCCGTCTCGCTGAGCCTCAGCTCGTCTCTCCACCTGATTCGAGCGGCAGGCCATCCGCCGTCGTCCCCCCTACCAGTATCCAAAGACGCAATTGATGAAGGGGAGCGCATCTGCGCCTGGTGGACGGTGATGGTCCTCGACCGATGTTGGTCAGCTGGCTTGGGCGAATCTCCTGGGCTCAGCTACGCAGATAGCTTGCAAATCGTCGATACACCGTGGCCACTAGAATCGGAGGAATATCCTCGGGTACGCTAATCCCTGATTCAACCTACTTACTCTTGGATGATTTTACTTCCGCCTTAGAGAATACAAATCCCCGTTGTTTCCTCGTGTAACACCATCCAAGCATTCATCGATGGGGAGCCACCGTCAGCTTCTGGCATGTCAACCATGGCCATGCTATCCAAGGCTGCAATCCTATGGCAACGCGCCGACGAAATCGCCAGACTCGGCTGGAGTGCAACCGTAGGTAAGAGCATCGGCTTCGTTTCACCCGTGGCGGGATCCGCTCATGACACAAGCACCCGCATGGCTCCAGACCGAGTTTCACCAGCTGGATGCACGAATTGATTCCTATAGAAGTCTATTGATACCTCCCAATCGTCTGATGCACCCATCAGCGAGCATGACGAGGACGCTGGCTGTCGCGCACAGCATCGCCCACGCAGCAACCATCCGCTTGCACAGTGCCGTCCGCCTCTCTAGTCACGCGGGGAGAAACAAGCGCCTCGTCGCGGCGAGGACTATTCTCGGCATCATCGCTGCAGTCGCGTTGACGAGTTTCCAGTTCATCAATCCAATTATGGGGGTACGTGCCCTTCAAAATTCGATCTATATGCGGAATTGACACTGTGCTCAGATAATCTGGCTGGAAGCTTCTAATCTTCTATTGGAAGTTCTGACCGTACAGATCCAATCGCGGTCGCAGGGAGGACCGCCCCGAGAAGAGGAACTCAACCTGCGCACCTTTCTGTCTAAAGCAGGCAGGGCGATTTCTTCCTTCAAAAGTAACGGCGGCCTCATAGGTTCGCTATATTTCATCGTGTCTATCAGCGCTCTTATCTCGTTTCTGCATGGCAGGCTCTCAAGTCGAAGAAATAGAACAGAAGCTCATTCAAGTTGGAATTTATTCATAAATTTTACGCGATTTTGATGAACTTGACACGTTGAATTACTCAAGAAACTCGAGTTTTTATGGTATTTAATTGCTATTTATACGACTGGGATGATTTGTATGTTCGTACTTCTCAGTGAACCTTCTTCATGACATACAGCTGGTATACTTATCTGCTGTTCAATCAATGCTGTCATATTAGTTCTCTACTGTTTTGAGAAAATCTGACAGTATGGTATCTTGAGACTTACTCCGCCCGTCCAAGAACCGGCATTCTCTTTTGTCTTGTTCTGCCCAAGAGGCCTGATCTCGATGATTCTGCACCGCCACGCTTGACAACACTGCCACTCGCTGCCATCGGCACTGCTTCGCCTTGGTCACCACCTCAGACGGTCTCCGTCACCATGCGTCCACGACCTCCAAACGGCTACACTGCGGTCCCTTCCACTCCTTCATCTCCATCACCCGAATACGGCGACGACGAGGAGCAGCTGACTCGCGCCCCGCTGCCTTCTTACCCACCGGACCCACGTTTCGATCAGCCCACACCACCTGCATGGCAGCGCGCCGGGCTGATAGCTGTACTAGTTTTCTGCATCTATTTCGCGGTCTGGTTACAGAATGGTTGGCATATGGGGGCGCTGGTCTGAACCAAGCAGCCGTAAGCGGTGGCGAGGGAAATAAGGTGCGCGCGCACTGCTTCGTCCTCTTCGTTTCCTGACAGCACGTTGCTCATCACTTCAGCTCTGTCAGCGATCAATCTCTTGCTCGGATCTTTCTCTTTCTGGGCTTTCGCGTAACATAACACACTCTTCGACAACGGACTGGACCGACCAACCATACATCGGAGACGAGGACATTGTATCAAACTGCATGCTAGCATACGAATGTTTAATCTTCTTCCCACTGCGCACCGTACGGCTCAAGAATCTTTCTGCCGATATGAACAGCATCTCTGAACCCTGTGATCATGCATGCATGAGGCGTGTAGTCGGGGTTTAGGTGACGGCAAGAGCAAGCGGATCTTCCCCATCTGATAGCTTTAGAATCTGCATCCCGAGCCCTTTCTGGTGCATCGTTATCTTGACTGGCCGACGCGGACTCCCGAGTGTCACGGCTTGGCTCTCCCGTCAACAGAAGATCGAGCCTGTCTCACCGCTATGTGAGACCGGCGCTTCGAGCCGGTATGTACAGGAGCAATGGGGCGTGTTTCGCCTCTGTCTATCTCAAACTATCATGTCTGCCCCAGCATCTACCAGTGCATGCAGCAAGCACGCCTTCATCACCGCCGCAGGGACGGATCAACGTGCACCCTGTCCTGCTCTCAATACGCTCGCAAACCACGGCTATATGTAAGCGCCCACAACACCCCTCCCACTCCGAGCCTGATCCCCCAGCTCCCATGACGGCGGTAACTTGCATTTCACGGCCGTTCTGCAAGCGGTCCGATGCGTCTACAACCTCTCGCTCCCGCTGGCGTTTCTGCTGACATTCACGGGGTTTATCACTTGCGGAAGCTTCCGGCTCGACTGGCGCGCACTCACGTGCTCATGGACCCTGTCTCTGGCAGATCTCAGTGCTCGCGGCGGCTCCAAGATCACGCACGATGCATCTCTCGTACACCCGTCCCACGGGACGTCGCATGCGCCAGATCGGTCGCTGGTCGCGGATCTGCTCGCCCGCGCTAGAGTGCGCTGCGGCCTCACTCTCCCTGAGCTAGCTGCCGTCCATTCTGCCCGGATATCCACACTGTCTCACCCGCTGAGTCTGTTCCACGAACAAGTGGCGTTGGGGGAGTGCGCGCTGGCGTGGCTGGTGCTGCACGACCGGAATACCGGGGTGATCGAGACGCAAACCCTTGAGCAGTGGTTTGGAGAGGAAAGATTGCCTCTCGGCTGGTGGGATGCTACGCGGCCAGTGAACAGCATCGGACTGCTCAAGGCCAGGAGAACAGCGACTGAAATCGGACGTCTTGCAGACACAAAGAAGAACCGCACGATTTGAATCAAAATTGTTGCATGGCTTTCAGAAAGAAAAAACAATGCTGATTGTACTAGACTAATCACGAATGCACCCTCGAATAAGCGATATTCTTCTCTGCCAGCTGGTTACCACGACGGCCCATCTCATCAGTTTGTGGGTGGCCACAAGTCATAGATTCTGGAGACAACCGTTTGATCATGCTGAGCAGCGATCTTGAGCGACGGTCTGTGGATGAGTCTTCCCCTTTTCCATGTCATGATCTATATACTCTACATGGTTCAAGATGTTTTGCCGATCTCAAGCGTGCTTTGAACTAAAATGAAAAATGAGAAGCCTATCACGTTCAACGCAGGGCGTTCTCAGGTCAAAGAGAAGAAGCTGGTGGTGAGTGAAGAAAAGCCGAAGAGAAGTCCCATTCAGCAAAATCGATGCTCCTCAACAGGGTCGAACTGTTGACCTCCAGATAAGATGACTCTGAGTCACTCATATGCGAATATGAGACTGGCGCTCTAACCAACTGAGCCAGAGAAGCTGTGGAGCAGCTGACAGACAAAGTTTATGGCTCCCGGCCATCAGTGGTGCAGTAAATTTACATTCAATAAGACAACAGGTAAGGAGTGTGTGTGCTGGAGATTGCATGTACAGGTGGGGGGCTCGTGGTGCCGCAGTTCAGGATGGATTGTATGGTACATTTCCCAGCCGGACGAAATGCGGTCGCCAGGGATGCGGTATCGAGTCGGATTTCCCGTCAGCGTATTCGGGGGTCCAGGTGTTCACCGAATGATCGCGTCTGGAATGGTCGGGGCAGCAACTGTCGTTCTCGCTGTAGAGTATACGGCCGCGGGGACAGGACTGCATTTGGAAGCATCGGCCGCGGACGCAGGCGACTCGTCGTAGGCTGGGGCTGCAGTGTACCTGGCTCTGCAAGTCGCGTGAGCGTGAGGAAAGGGGTCGGTCAATGGAGCGGGCCCACACCTTGGCAGCCACAACAGCAGGCTGCGCCAGTGCGACGACGGCGAGGCACGCCAGGACGCGAAAGCTCAGGGTCACGCGCATAGGGGATGCAGCCAGGGGAAGGTACGCTGGAAGAAAAACATGGGCGAGAAAAGGTGAACTTTATACGATCAGACGGATAGATTCCCAAACAGTGATACCAGCGGTGCATGCGAGCTGTATCTCATAGTTTTCTGGGATGATGAATGGAGAACCAAACAGCTAGAACGAGACTAGACCGATGCCGAACGGTATGACAACTCGCAATCTGAACACCGAAGCTGTGCAGCTCAGGAAGGTCCATGCCCTAGGATACAGGGACCTTGGAGAGAAGACGAGATGAAAATGATATGTAGCCGGAGTCAAGTGGAGTAGCAGTGATGAGTTGACGGCTGTAATACGCCCTGGAATGGGCACCGGCGTCTTTCTTCAAGTCAGGATCAGGTTGTGCTGGTAGTCTCTGGCAAAGTTATCAGGCACCTCTCGGACCAAACAATGCTGTGCAATCACTGGATCAATGCGGAGTTTCAATTTCTCCCCGTGTACAAACCAACCACTTGTCGGTTTACCATTGTGCACTTGTGCGAGACCCTCTTTCCATCTCCCTTCTTCTGCACGTCTCCTCGCCACGCTTCACCAATGGTCATTAATACTCACGCGTCTCTCGCTCATGCCACTCACTGACGATCCGAGCAGAGTCTTCCGCCTCCCGTCATGCGCCGTCTCGTGCGGGAAATAACACACCTGCAAACGTCGCCTCCTGAAGGGATCCGCATCCAAACGAGCGAAGATAACCTGCTAGACCTGACAGGGATCATCGCAGGGCCAGGTATGTGGGCTACGCGTCAGTTCATGCTGTCTTGTTGAGGCTTGCACTCGCAGAGGGAACGCCGTACGCGGGTGGCTATTTCAAAGTCAGATTCACATTCACAGAAGAATTCCCTACTGCGCCGCCCAAATGTCCGTCGTCGCTGTCCACTCTACATCCGCAGGCCCTAACTGATCGCCCATAGGCCGATTCGCTACGAAGATCTTTCACCCGAACGTCTCGGGGGCGGGGGAGATCTGTGTGAATACCCTCAAGAAGGACTGGAAGCCGACATATGGGATTGAGCACATCCTTGTGACCGTCAAATGCTTGTTGATTTATCCGAACCCGGAAAGCGCACTGGATGAAGAGGCAGGCAAACTGTTGCTCGAGGACTACGCGAGCTATTGCAGCCGCGCAAAGCTCATTACCAGCGTACATGCCACTCCGAGAGTGCGGCCTATCGAATTCGACACACCCTCTGCCTCAGACGACACAACCACCGCACCATCTCCTTCAACCTCCATATCCTCACCACCTTCCCCTCCACCTCCCTCTCTCTCCGCTACACTCACGAAAGCCGCGACGGCACCGTTATCCGTGGGGTCTTTGGCTGTTCCGGCAGTGACCCGCAAGCCGTCATCGCCTGTGCCAACCGTAGCTCACGCCATTCCGCTCAAGTCGTCGCCCGGATCTAACACCGGGATAACGGGCAAGGGCGATAACGGAATCGGTTTGAAAGATCGGCACTGCTCGCCTTCGCCTCTGAGCACTGCGGACTCGAATGTGGGGCTCGCCGTACCGACAGTTGCTCCCACCACCCTCCCAGCGTCTGGCAACAAAGCCGTCAAGCGGGCGGCAACAGGTGCGACGAGTGGCGCAGAAAAACGCAAGAAGGCGCTCAAACGCCTTTGATCGTTTGTTGGGTGTATCCATCTTCTCATGATCTATTCTTCCTCTATAGCCTTTCTGTGCACACACACATCTTACTCTTGCGCTACCTGTATAAGCCGATATTTGTCTGTATTTCCATGTGATACAACCCATCTATACATCAATAAGTGTGTCTGCGGAACTCGAGGCTGGCCCGATGTAGCCCCTGGATGATGCGCATGAGTTCTTGAGAATCAGGTCGGGAGCCCTGATCCACGTTCCAGCATCGCTGGATGAACGCCCACTGTAGGTCAGTGACAAAGGACTGCGCGGGCCGTCGGGGTTTGTTCCCCTTGTGAAGCTCGATAACGACTTGTGCATCCGAGCGCATATAGTGGTAGGGGATCCGCCCGGAGAGAAGCTGCGTGCAGATCCATTCAGGATGTGTAGCGACGGAATCACACATAAGCCACTTGCCTCGAGGGTGACGCTTCCGAAAGAGTAGATGTCGTTTCGGGTGGTGACCACGAGATCCTCGTCCTCGCTCAAAGTGTACAGTGCAGAGTCGGCCCAGCGGACCGCCCCTCCGATGCAGGACGTCAGGGACGAGGAGCCGCAGATCTCAGCTACTATGGTGGACAGGCCGAAGTCACAAAGGTGGGCCTTGCCCTCGTCATCGATAAGGATATTCGACTAGCGAGATATGAGAATCCGATTCGAATGTAGAACGGACACTGACTCCGGTGAGATCCCCGTGGACGATCGAGTTTTCGTGCACTGGGAGATGATTCACATCGCAAATCTGCCTATGAAGAGCGCACTCACGATAGTTGAGGCCATCTGCGACTTCACACAACTGTTCGTGCCGTCATCAGTGAGTCAGAGCCGCGGACAGCAGGAGGATAAGATGTGCACCAATTGCAAGCGGTCCGCCATGGACAGGATATCCCCTCGGCGTTCCATGTACTTCGACACGCTTCCCTGCTCAAGCCAAGGACAGACCATTGACTTGTACGGCCCGAAGTCGGACACAGTCCCCCACAACTTGAGCACGTGTTTGTGATTCAACCGTTTCCACACAGCGAGCTCTCGCGAAAGACGCTGGAGCCATGTGATCAGGCCAGTTCACGCATAGGCGCACGCACAAGCACACACACCTTGCTCATCTTGATTTCTGTGTCAGGGTCATCCAGTCTGGAACGGAGCACTTTGATGGCCACCCAGTTGCCTGGCTGTTTGCCCCAAGTGCCTTTCCAGACATCGGCAAAGCCGCCGTGAGCCTGAGGGTAGTTGCCCTCCCTACAGACTTCTCCTGTCAGATCAAGGAGGACTGACGGGTCCTCCTCCGCAACTTCAGGGACGACCGGTAAGCGCATCGAAGTAAAGCGGTGGTATTCGACTCACAAGGTTCGGACTCGGGTGGAGGCGTAGGCGGAACATCGAAGCCCACCAGTTCATTGGTGCCGAGATGGATTCGGGGGAAGGTCGTGTTAATCGCCAGAGGACTGACTTCCTGTGAACCTCCGCCGAAGAATCGCGGCAGCAATTGGGGGCTGAGAAGAGACTCTTGGTCGCTGAGACAGCCCTCTTGCTGCAACAGGGAAGATGATTCAGACCGCGGGCCTTTCCGGCCGACCAGGCTCCACGACCTAGCATGGGACCGTCGGCGGCCCCCTGCTTCTTCATCGTCCGATGGAACGTTGCTGTTCTCCTCTATGGTGCCTGACGATCCTTGATAGATTGACGGGACGAAGTGCTCCAGAGTCGCACACCACTGGTCGTACTGTTCTGTACAGGATGTGAAGAGCTCGATGGTCTCAAGTCGATTGTTCTCATCGAGCCAGTCCAGTTCGATTGAGTCTGATGTCCAGGTCAAAAAGGAACTTTCAACAACAGGATGACATCCTCACCAGAATCGCAGAGCCGCAGCCGCCTCATCCGAGCAGTGGGAATCACGCAAACGAGATTGAGAGGGGTGCTCTTGCGGAGCGCGGGCCCAAGCTCCCAAGCCAAGATTGGATACCGTACGTTCTCCTGTTGCTCCAAGTGCGTAGACTCTCCATCCACTTCCTCTGTGCAGCAGAGTAAAGCCATCTCGAACAAGAACAACGATCGGCGAGAGGTGGGCGCTTGCATGTCGACCAAGTCGTCCAGCAGAAGGGGCCCCAGCTCATTTGGATCGACATCGGAGCGCCAGCTGAAGGCCCGACCTTGGAAGATGCCTGCAGCTTTCATCGTGCGGAGGAGGTTGCCCATCTCGTCGAGATTGTTCGAGACTTCATTGAAATGAAAGAGTGTATCGCACAGATTCCTGTAGGTCGAGCTTTCTGCGGGAGATGTCACAGAGAGTATATTCTGGAGGTAGTAGTCAGACACGCTTGCAGAGGGCTTGGCATGTTTTACCTCCAGGAATGATAAATAAGCAGAGGTTCGTATTAAGAGAAGGGACACGTTGCTGAGCAGAATCAATGCGTGACTAGCTAGAAGAGGCTAAGAAGAGTGAGAAACAAACGCGCTCCTTTGCAAAAAGACCGACTTCAGATCCGTCGATGAAGCATTCCAATGCTGACTCGAGACCGAGATAATTAGCGCAGATGGCACGGTATGCGCCAACAGCATTTTGACTGGCGATATTCTGCAGATGGCGAGTCAGAGACATCGCCGTATTCTCAACATATCTTTGAAGTACATCAACTGCAAAGATCCCACTCCAATCCTCTGCAAGCGGCATCTGCTGTGCTGCCTCCAGCCCTTGCAGAATATGATCATGATATTGGCGGAGCACGACACGATTGACAGCAAGGCATTCGAGGCATGGGTCAAGGGGGGACCTTCCACCCGAAAGTAATTCCACGGAGTCCTATTCGCCTAGACGTCAGTGATGAGAAGGAGATGGACGGTGGAGATGACCCACGCCCGTCATGCGCAAAGTCGTGATGTGCTGCCGCTCTGAATCGACCAATTCTCTCAGGTACTGTGATCGGCGGACGGAAGCATCCTTCGGGAGGAGAAAGACACCAGGAAAAGATTCTTGCAAAGCATTGAGAATACGCTCCACTGTTTTGAGAATCTGCTGCAGTCAGCGGGCCTTCAATCTTCGGGGAAAGCAGAGCACTCGCTTTAGCAAAGCCCGAGTTCGTTCCAGCGAAGAGATCTTGGACCTGTCTCGACCATTCAGACGGACTCATCTGCCAGACTGAAACGCACCCGCAAGACTTCGCCGAGCGCTATTACACCTTGAAGCTCCAGCAGCTGCACCTGTGATCCGTGCTTAGAGCCTGCTCACTGCGCCAATGCGCGCGGAGCCGACTCTCACTCGTTGTATAAAGTGGCTGAACCACTTCTCCCTGTGGGGCAGGCCCAGCCCGAGCTCCGGCTTCTCCCAATCAATGCTTGTCAACTCCTGGTCACGGGCACCGAACGGCGGCGAGCTAAGCAGATTGAGCAGAGTCGAGAGCGGTGCGCCTAGCGCAAAGATTTCCCAGAGAAGGAAGAAGCCGGAGTGCGAACCGCTCGATCGTGGCTTGCATGATCGGACGTGCTCGAGCCAGGGCCGGAACTCGATGATGAGGGAGAGACGCGATAGGACACGAGCGGATTCGCGGCGAAGGTGATCCGAAGGTGCCTTGGGAGCGTGGAGGGCACTCATCCGAGAGTCATAGACGGTGGGGCGGCGGGTGGAAGAGAGCAAGGGGACGAGAGAGGGAGCGTAGGATGGTTGTGGAGATCACGTTGCGCCGATCAGCTGCAGTCGTCAGTGGCTTGGAAGCAAAATCAGAAACCGATGACTAAGAGTGACATTTGCACTGGTTGGGAGAAGTGATGAGCTGCTCTGCGAATTGTCACGGAGGACAGGGCTGAGGCGATGAGCAGAAGATGGCTACGCCCGTAACCAACGAGCGTGTTCTCGAAAGACGACATATCATCCGGCGACTGCCGCAGCCCACGTTGGCCGGCGCTGAGCATCACCAGAATGAAGCGCACTAAAAAAACGCGCGGGTTGAGAGATGGCTACAGCATCCTTGTCAATGCGCACCGGACAAGTCGAAAGACGCTTCGGATATTGGAGCGACGATCACAGATGAGCTCCGTCGAGAAGAAAGCCTACCTACAGTAAGATAACATAGTCTGTTTCCCTTTCATTTTTTCGGCCGACAAGGTCATAACGCGAGTTGGCTGTGGATGCGCAAGTTACACTCCTCGTGTGTACCGTGCGAAGTCAATATCAAAATGCAGTGATCAGATCAACCCGGCTGTGCTGCCAATCGCCGCGGCTGCCTTCATCAAGCGCTCAAGTCGTGCCCGCAAAAAATTGTGCTCTCCCCCCTCTCCTTCGACCTTGCGAAATGACTACATTAGATTCTCTAGTCGATTGGTCACAGATCACCCTGCTGTGCTCCCTCTTGTCAATCACCTTCAACCCGACTGCATGGAACATCGTAGCCCAGAATGGTGCGACATCCTCCATCCCACGCGACGTGCACCACTGACATCGTCGCAGAGTACCGCAACAAGACCATCACCCGCATGTTCGGCGGGAACGCGCGTTACGGCTGCTATTTTCTGGCCCTCATGATCTTCTCGTTCGGAATGCTGCGAGACTCCTTGTAAGCTCATCAAGGCACAAACACGCGCATTCGCGCACGCCGCCTGACTCGGGTCGCCAGGTACCACAACGCGCTGCAAGACCAGCCCAAGGTCTCGCTTCTTCCCGCTCCCTTCGACACCATCGTTCCCGCCGTGCTGTTCGTGACGGGCCAGATCTTCGTGGTCACGTCGACTTGGATGCTGGGCATCACTGGCACGTTCTTGGGCGACTATTTTGGTATCCTCATGGATCACCGAGTTGAAGGGTGCGCAGCTTGTTCGCTTCAGCTAATCGCAGAAACGTCAACGATGCTCCAGGTTTCCTTTCAATGTGCTCCGCGACCCTATGTATGTGGGGAGCACCATGTCCTTCGCGGCTACTGCTCTCTGGTAAGCTGCTCATGTTCGAACTCCAGACATTTCATTTAATACCTTCTGCCAGGTACGAGCGCCCCGCCGGTCTGTTCATCACAGCCTTCGTCTATGTCGTATATGTGATTGCTCTGCGTTTCGAAGGGTCAGTACGCGTTGGTCTTATTCCTTATCTGCTGCTTGAACAGACCATGCAGGCCATTCACGGATATGATCTATGCCAAGCGCGAAGAGGCACGCATGAAAAAGGAGTAGGGGAGAGCTCCGGAGGAGGGTTCATTCGCCCGCATCGCACGACTTCACCAGTCCATGCTGAGGCTGTAGACATGCCCCAGGCCTCAACGCCAGGCACAAGACATCTACGCCGTGATGATATATATGTTCGGATGGGATTACAAGAGATGAGTGATTAGCGTTCGATGTATGATACATTTTGCCGTAATATACTTTGTGTTTCACGAGGAAAACTGGTACTTGCTCACGACCTTGTCCCATATCTGTTTCGTGTCGACAGTGGCTCCGAGACGAGAAGCTAGCAGAAACGTGCCACTGAGTTTTCTGCAGCGAGGTCAGCAGGAGCAGCTTGGAAGACGGAAAGAACTTGCCGATTGAGACTGTACGTCTCGCGAGGCGGCGGAGTCAGGCGGTGCTGCAGCATGACCGGGATGAAGGTCCTGATTTGGGCCGTTATGTCAGCCCACAAAGTGCCGGGGCCAAAAGTGAACGGCTGGGCTGTGGAAGTCCTGAAGGGAGTGGCCAAGAGAATCATCGACTGGACATGCGCATCCAGCATCAGTTCGTTTTCTTCACCCGTGAGATATCCCAGACGCAGACTGAACTCGATACACGCCGAACGGTCTTCCTGTGCTGCGGCCTGCAACAACCGCAGCCAGTCATCCATGAACTCCTTCGAGTATTCACGCGTCGCGCCAAAGTCAACGAGCTCGACCTGCCGCGATTTCGGGTTCCAGAGGAAATTGGACCAGTTCGGATCCGTCTGCATCATACGGAACTCGAACAACTCCTTTAAGCAGAGCTCGATGACACGCGCTGCAATCTAGATCGAGGTGAGTGTGAGAAATCGCAGTCAAGAGGGATGCGCACGTCGTCCCGGTCTTGCTGGCCCAGCTTCGCCAGCGCGGCCTCTCCCACGCTCTTTCCGTCAACATGCTCCATGACCAGCACCCGCTCCGTGCTCTGATCCCAGACCCAAGGGACCTTAAAGCGCGGATCTCCACCCAGATGATCCTGGTCCCCAAAAGCACGCAGGAACCGTGCTTCCCGCGTGTAATCGCACTCGTCCGCAAGCTCCTCCTTCATGGCCTGCATCGTGCGGTCGAGAAACAGACCCTTCGGCAGCAGCCGGCCTGCGGTCAGCAGGAGACTGACGTATCCGAGGTCGCTCGCGATGGAATTGCCGATGTTGGGGAACTGGATTTTCACGGCGACTCGGGCTTCAACACCCGTCGGCGACACGGCAGCTGCGAGAGTGGCGGTGTGTACTTGTCCGATGGAGGCGGCCGCAAAGGGAACGCGATCGAAGGAGGAGAACATCTTCGACCAATCTGGGCCCAGTGCATCGGAAACTACTCGCTGCGCGGATTAGTGAGAACAACATATACCAGCTGTTCAATGTCGATGGCCCACCTCCATCTGCCAGTCGGGCATATAATGGGCGCTGTCTTGAACGCGACGGAAGATTTGGTCAATGTCGGCCGGAAGTACGTGCGTGTCTGATACTTGTCAAGAGCCCGCTCCATGTTTGGAGAGTGTAGTCACCTTGTATACTCAAGAACTGCCCCAGCTTCAAAGCAGCGCCGCGCATCTGAGAAAGCTTCGAGACCAGCCGTGTGATATTCGCTTCAGTCATGATTAGAGGGGACTGCGATTCGGAAGAAGTAGCAGTCCGCCTGATCATTTCCGACGCAGCACCGTAGCCAAGGGATGCGGCCAGACCTTGAAAAGCTCAGTCGCGACGAAGAGACCTTGTTCGGACAGAGCAACACACTTCCGTAGTGGAACAAACGCCCAATCCGTGAGGACGGAACTTTTGAGGACTGCAGCTGGCGCACGGGGGCTTCCGACTGGACAGCAGTTTGCTATGGATTTCCCATGAGTTGTCGTCAGTCGTCACAGCAAAGTCAGGAACAAACCTACTTGAGAAAGAGAGACACGTTCTAGTTCCAGCAGCGGTTCTTTCTCTTCTTTGGCCCCGTTCGAATCCAGTGACTTATCGGACTGAGGAGTCGCAATCTGAGGGGGTCATTGAGTAGAGGTCTCGGGACGAGATTCATGGCACACCGGTATTGCGGGTTCGTTTCTAGTCTCGACCTTCGTCTCCTCCACTTCAATGACCTTGTCCGAGACTATTTTCGGCTGGACAGGTATAGAAACCTCTACCGCGGGTTCTGCAGCCGGGGAAAGTCGCGTCTGAGGGTTGCTCGCATCCACCAGATCCTCTTGGGGGCGTGTGCGCAGTCTTGTGTCGGCAGGTGCGGAAAGAGGCGCTTTCATGGGGATTGACGCGTCAAGACCAGACTCGTTCCTACGACTGTCGGGCAGCTGCATGCCCTGTCCACCAGACGCAGTGGTTGGGACGTTCTGCCTCCAGACCACCGTGTTATGCGCTGTGTAACCGGCGGATGCTTGGGCGGCCTTCGCGCTGGCGGCGCGTACGAGGATGTCACACGCAGCGGACGCGACACATAGCCAGTTATACGCCGGGCCAGGGGGCATAGGAACGCGCCACTGGAAATGTCACGATACGAGCGTTCTTCAACGTCGACTAGAGGATATTTGGTGGATCAAGCGAAGCAGGTGGGGCCAAACGCCGGGCCGATCGAATTTGTTCCCGCTCTGGGCCGAGTCCGTCCCCCCTCCCATGACACTTGAAGTGCGATCATCAAACAAGTGTCAACCCAAACTTTTTTCAGTTCCTCCCAGCTATGTTCGCCAACGCGTTTCGCCGACATGTGCAGACTGCGCTCGTAGCGTCTTTAAGACGGACCGCGGCGCCTTCACTGGCCGCTCGCGTCGCACGCCCCTCCACCCTCTGCCTGCGCTCCCTGTCGACGACTCTGGTCCGCCTCGAAGCCGGGGGCATGCCCCGCATGTCGAACCACGAACCGAGCCTGCAGCTCTTCATTGGCAACATCCCATGGCAGCTCACGGACGCGGAACTGCACAGCATGTTCTCCCAGCACGGCGAAGTCGCTTCCGCCCGCGTCAGTAGGTGGCTGCAGTCGTGTTCTCGCACCTGGCGCTGACTCCATGCGCATAGTCATGAACGCGGACGGCTCGAGCCGCGGGTTCGGCTACGTTGTGTTCAAGACGCAGGAAGGTGCTACGAACGCATTCAACCAGGACCACATCGTCGGCGACCGCCAGCTCCGGGTAGACTACACAGCACTGCAGCAGAGTCGCGCGCCGCGGACGCCTTCGACCCCACGCAGCAGCACCAACTCGCCGTCGAACGTTCTCTGGGTTGGTAACATCCCGTACGGCGCCGAGGAGCAGGACCTGAGGAGCAAGTTCGAGCCCTTCGGCTCGTTGCGGAGCGTGCGGATAGCAATGGGACCGAACGGCGAGGCACGGGGATTCGCTCATGTTGAGTTCATGCGGGAGCAAGATGCTGTGACCGCGCTGGAGGATCTGAGGGAAGAGCCGATGTTCATGATGGACCGTAACTTGCGGGTGGATTTCGCTCCCCAACGGAAGCAAGCACCTGCCATGCCGGTCAACCGCATCTACTTCCACGACTTCCGGGGGTCGGAGGAGGACCTGCGGAATGTTCTGCAGGAGTGGGGCAACAACGTGATCAAAGTTACCTTCTGTCAGTCTGCTTTCCTTGACTGATCCCCAAATCGCGCTGACATTTCTGTTTCTAGTGCGCGACCACAACACGGGTTCCAGGTTAGGCAACGGGTTCATCCAATTCACGACGACCGATGTCGCCACCAAAGTGAAAGAATCGCTGGACGGCCAGACCTCCCAGTACGGCCCGTTGAACTTTGAATTCGCAAAGTCGACGAGACCCAACGCCTCTCCGGTCGGGAAGGCGCAGGGCTACGCTGGTCAGCAAAACCGGCAATTCGGGCTCGAGTACTAGGTCTCTTCTATGCATTTTATCTTAGTGGTCACTCTTAATATCAAAAACACTGCATGTAGTCGTCGATATGTTGTTCTACATCTAGACATCCCATCCCACATCACATGAATAAGACAATGTCGCATGGCCGGCCTGCGCAACCAGCGGGGAGTAGTATATGCAGGCAAGTAAGGTATCCTGAGTAAAGTCGAGTAATGCCACTTGTGAGAGCGATAAGAAACGAAGTTGTGTGACTTGTAAGTAAGATATCTAAGGGCAGATTAGGCGAACATGTATTCCTCCGACTCCTTGTCCTCAGGCCAGGGAATACCGCGCTGCGGTTCGGCTGGCAGAGGCGAGGTCACATTAACGGACGACTCCTTGCGCAAAGCGGACAACGTGCTCTGCCGTTTCTGGATCTTTTGCGACCAGCTGGCCCCCTTGAGATGATGCACATCCGGCGGCGCAGCGCCGATGAGGCTGTTCTTGCGCGACTGCATAACCGGCGGAGCGGCGGGCGGCTCGTCGGCCGGGGCCGACATCCAGTCGTCCAGTTCGATGCCGTGCGCGTTGCCCCCGGGGCCACCGCTGGCAGAGGATGCGGCGATGCTCGTCGCGTCTGCGAAGCTGCGCGTCTCGGAGCTGTATGGGGTGTGGCTGGGTATGGGCATCGGAAAAGCCGTCCCCGGGCCTGGGGTCCGGTCGAACTCTTCCGACGGCGCGGCTGTCGTGGAACCTGAGCCGTCCGGGGAGGCGAGGCCAGGGTTGTCTTCGGGATGCGATGGTAGCACCAGCAGCGAGGGCGCGAGTTTGGGGGTATTGAGGCTCCCAGCAGCGATCGGACGCGGAGCAAGCCATGCCCAGCGCTTGCTCTCGAAGCCCTCCTGCTCAATCGCGAGCAGCGCCGTACACACAGTCGACAACACGACCTCCATCGCCTGGCCGCGCGACAGCACCGCACAGCGCCCCGCGGCGACTCCCGGGAGGACCATGTTCACCTGCGGCCCCGTCATGCACGCGTCGAGCCCGCGGCGCGAGATGTGCAGTGCGACGTGCCGCTCTTTGAAGAAGCGCGCCCACGGCGGGAGGGCCGAGCCCGGGCCCGGGCCCGGGACGACGGGCCGGACACGCAGCTCCGCCACTGCGATGTCGCCCTTGCGCGCCCGAGGCCGCTGGTCGTAGCCCGTGCAGTAAAGAGTGGAGAGCACCTCGCCGCGGTCTGGAGGCGCGCATTCGAGCACAAAGTATCCGCCGCCTTCATATGCGACAGACGGGGCGGCCGGGGAAGGCGGGGCGGGTCCCTTCCTCTTCGGTCCCCCTTTACTGGGAAATTTATCGGGCATGCCCATGTGGTTGAGCTTGAGGAGGAAGAAATGGTGCGCAGGTGTGTCTCGCTTGAGGAGGCGGGACGGATCGTGCAGGCCACAGGCGCTGGAGACGGCCAGGCTGTTCCCGATGGTCGATTTCGAAAGGATCGAGTTCGCAGCTGTTAGCGTGACGCAGCGCGATGGCTGGTCCTTCGCGACAAAGGCGGTGACTGTAGTTCGGGGCTCGACGGCGAAAAAGAAACATCGGAGGACGAGACGCACTGTAGCCTTTCGACGCCGCATTGGGAGTCGGCATGGCACTCATCGCATCCCACCCCTGAGAGCGCAAGACCTCGACCGACATGTTTTTCTTGCCCAGAAAATGCGCCTTCATCTTCTTCTGTATCCTGTACGTCGGCCGGCCGCTCGACGAGTCGCTGCTGCGGTACCGCGCGTCGATCTCCGTGTCCTGGCAGCAGCATCATTTCAGCCGATCGAGACGCCCTGCGAGCGCACCTTGCCGCCGGGCCCGAGCACCAGTTCGAGATCAAACACGTCAAACACATCCTCGTCACTGAGAGGGTCAAAGAAGGGGAGCCCGCTGCCCCCCGTTGTAGCTGATGCCGGCGGTATAACTGATACCGGAGAAACTGAAACTGGGTCGACTCCCGAGTCCACAATATCCATGCGCGAGTGCCGGCCATCGAGGGACGACACCGCTTCCAGCTTGAAGCCGCTGTCCTCCTCGGCGACGCTGGGAGCAGCGCTGAACCTGGACATGGGATGGGGATGGGGGGTCGAGAAGCAGGACGGGCGGACAGGAGGCGGCGGGTGTTTATCAACGGAATGTGTACAAGCTAGGAGGCAGCGCTAGAGGGGGTGTGCACAATTCCTGCTGTTATGCATAAATATATTCGCACCGGGCTAAATCATACAATACGTAGAACTGCTCTCCAGACATGTCAGTCAGTCAGTCTGTCAGTCAGACAAGGCCGCCAGATAACTCTGCAGACAAAAAAGAGACATTGATTTAGGAGATGACGTAAGACTCGCGAACGGGACACAACACAACCACGCACCTCGCGTTCCTGCAGGAACTCCAGGTACGTCAGAGCCACCGCGATCCAAAAGGTCGAGTCGACGCCCAGAGCCTGCTCCTCCGCTTGATCGAGCTCGAGCAGCCCCGTCAGCTGGTTGACCGTCATGATCGGCGTGCGGTCGTGGAAGGTCACCACCGGTGCGATCGGGGCGCTGGGCCGAGACGACTCGGGAGCTAGCGGCGTTGCCAGGGCGATCGTGGACTCTGTCGGCGAGGCCGTCGCTGCCGGAGTCGATCGCAGGGGAGGGGGAGGGGGCGGCGGGATGCGGGACAGCACGAACGAGTACGACGGCCCCGCGCTCTGGCTCTTGATCGCGGACACGGCGCGCTGGAAGAACGTCATCTGCTCCGGCTTCGCGGCATCCAGCGCGTGCGGGGAGAGGATGAACGGCGTCACTTGCGTTTGGGTGCTGGGCGCCCCGCGCGGCGCCGTCGCTTGCTCGAGCCGTGCTTGGACGGCGGCTGGGCTCGGCGGCTGGACGGTTATCGAGGGGCCGGGCGGGACGGGGGGTGTCGGGGGATAGGAATGGGCATCTGCGGTCGAGGAGGTGCTCGCGCGCGGTTCGAGGTCCACGGTGGGGGGTATATTCGTGCGTGAAGAGAATAGGAGAGATCCGGTGGGGTGAGAGGTGTTCGCTGGTGGAGGTGTTAGAGGTATGAACGCGCCTGCAGAGCCATGATATGTAAGATTGCACGAGACGAAATCGGTTCACGCACCAGGCGGGAAAGTAGGTGATCTGATCCTGATATACCACCCTGACCGCGGACGGTGCATCGTCCAGCATATTCTTCGCGTCTCGTTATGCTGATTATTGGATCAGGGCCATGTCGAGTACATTCCGGATGTGGACGCTCACGATGAAATGCTCAATAATCTCCTCCTCCTCGAGAAACCTTTCCTTCATACTGAATATAAGCACGTGTGGCTGGCACGACGGCAGCTGGAGCGCCGACCTTGAACCAGATAACCCGCGTAGAGTTCTCTGCCATGACGTTCACCTTTAGCTCTGCGAGCACATCCGAGCTGGGGCCGGCAGTTAAAGCAGTAGCGTGATGCTATTGATAACAAACCCACCTCTGAACCACGAAACGCGTCTTCTTGCGGCCCGACTGCTCAGCATAGCTAGGGAGGCTCATACCCGACGAGGTGGTCGTCGGGAGCGATGCTGCGGTAGGCGAAAAGTCATCGCCACAATGTGTGCTTCGCCACAGGTTAGGGTTTCGTCGTCACGGATCTTCCGTAACTTCGACTGTCGACCCTGTCTGTCTCTATGCGGAAGGCCTTCAGCACCGACAGCTATAGCTCTGGGCTTTATGCTGGAACGTGACTGCCGGTGCTGTCCACCTGCGAGTCAGGCAGCCTTCAAAATGTGATTCAGAATTTCAGATAAGCGGAACCCGGATGTTCCTTCATCCCCTGATCGGCTGAAATTGAGTGGAACCCCGGGGGATAAAAGAATTCGCATGTGTATACCCCATAATCCTTCCCCGCCTCCACGTTCAATTTCTAACGATTGCAATCCCGTTGCACAGTTTCTTGACCTTGCATTACACGGAGAGACATGACTGCTACGCCCACGAACGACGACCCGTTCCGCGAACGACTGCGGTCCAGGTCGCCGCACTGCGTGCCTGGCGCGATGCCCCTGGGACTCGGTGTGGTCGACGAGCACGAGGAGTTTGGGTACGACGTGGACGCGGAGGTGGAAGCCGAAATACGGCGGAGGCGAGAGCGAGAAGCGCTGGACGCGCAATTCATCGTGAGCCGCGAGTCTGCACCGCTGGTCGCCGCGACTCACCCTGCGCCAGGACCTGGCCCGGATCTTGCCCACCCTGTCACACACGCACCGCTTGACAAAATCGCTCATTTTGACGGAGGCTATTGCGCACACCCGCAAACAGCGCACGCAGCGGCTCGCGGCCGCCGCGCAGATCCGCGGTCTGCTCGCGTCGCAGGATGCGCTCGTCAAGGAGGTGCAGGCGCTGCGCGCACAGCTGGCATCCTCCTCGCCAAACTCGCCCGCGGAGACCGACACGGCTCTGATCGAGGGCGAAGCGGCCGTGCCACGGTCGGACTCGCCGCCGATCCCTACCAGCCTTCCGATAGCGCTGAATCCGGAGGCGCAGCAGGTCCTGTTCGTCGAGCAGGAGGTGTTCAGCATCTTCCCCCCGGGCACGACGCTGGAGGACTCGGACGACTTGGACGAGCGACATGGGCGTGTGCCGTATCGGGACAGGAACCTCAGTCGTCCTCGGAGGAGAATCAGTTCGCGCTCGATCAGCAGTGTGCGCACGAGCCACACTCGTCGGTCGTCGCAATCTCCAGCCCCGTATGCGCATTCGCCACGATCGGCTGATGTCGCGTGGGGCGTTTCTCCACAGATTCAAGCAGCGGCATTCGCACATCAACCCGTACGTGTTGGCTCGCTTGGACATGGATCGGGTGTCTGACTAGTACCCCTCCAGCTGATGGATACTCTCATCCACGACATGGACCTGCTCGCGTCACTCAGCCCGAATGCAGACGTGCTCGCGGACTACCCGGGGCTCTTCGACGCTGCTCTGTCGCCGATGAGCGAAGGCTCGTCGCAGGGCTCGGGCGATGATGATCCCCTGACGTCGCTCAGGATCCACCCGGGACTGCACAGTTCTGCGTCATACCCGGGTCAGCAAGGGATCGACCTGGGCCTGGACTTTGGTTCTTTCGGCGGTGCCGCTGTCGGGGGAACGCCGGCTTCCCTGGATACTTGGTATTCTCGGTTCCAGTCTCAGCCCAGTCGCCCCCCGTGAGTGCATTCTGACTGCAAGTCTGATGAGCTTGTTCTGAGTGACGCACGCAGGCTGGTCAACGTGGGCACTCATGGCGGCTTCATCTGAAGCCGGGTCAGGTAGCAATATCTGCCCTACCATCGCCGTTCAACATGCCATGTCTTGGTTCTCTGGGGTCAATCTGCTTTATATATCGGTGTAATCTACGCGCTTCTGCCAATCTATATGAAGTGTCCGCATCAGTCTTCTGTACTCATCACTGCCAAGTGCCCGCACACTACCCCTTTCAACGCCCTGTAGCTGTACCAGCGCGTCTCACGACAAGCTTGAGGGAGAAACTGAGCGTTGTTCCTCAGCTGATCGCTCGCTATGCTCACCACATACCTACTATGCTCGCTCACGTGTGGTCGTGCCTCCGTCACGTGTTATTGACAGGCGCTTCGAGCAATCAGATCTCAATGATCGGAAGCCGATCCAGCGCACAGAACTTGACTTATCTATGGAGGCCGGGAACTATATGCTGATAAACGGAGGACGTATCACTGATACGCGATAGTTTGCCGACATAGGATCAATTTCATGATGCGCTCCATGTCATGATGCGCCTATCTGGACGGCTGAAAACGTTATACTAATAACCGATGTCTGAATCGTGGATGGCCGCTCGGCAGATATTGATCAGATGATTGACGCAATGATCAAGACCCCAGGTAGCCGACTATCGCAATATCGCAACATCGTAATATTCGAAAAGCGCAACATTCGAGATAGGATCAGCGGCCGGGTCGCCGGCGCGAGCAGGCTCGTCGCAAGTCCGGACTCCCAGGCGACATTCCAGGGCAGCGGTTCGTACGTCGTGTTCGACTGGGGAAGGAGGTGCGCGGCCTCCCTGATACAGCGCCGTCGAGGGTCAATTCACACACCCATACTGTAGCTTGGGGGGATCCTGTCGCTGACGATCAACAACGCGACGGCCCAGTCGCAGTTCTCACTGTCGTTCACCGAGTCCGCGGAGTTCATCAGCCCGCTCAAGTTGGACGACTCGTGCCAGCCCGCACGGCTGCAGAACTGGGACAGAATCCAGACGTTCCACGTGCCGCGAGCCACGGGGCTGCTGACGCAGACCGTGGGACAGCAGCGCGGCGGGTTCCGCTTCCTGACGATTGTGAGTGCGAGCGCGGACCCGCTGACGATCTCGAACATCTCGCTGGCGATCACGTTCATGCCCCACTGGGATGATCTCAGGGCGTACCCGGGCTACTTCTTTGCACCTGACCCCGGGTTCCACGACATCGACTTCCTCACGAAGATCTGGTACGCCGGTGCGTCATCGCCTGTTTGCTGGCTGATGTGGCAGAGCGTGGCGTGGGTGGGGGCTGACCGCTAGCAGGCACTATAGGGTGCAGACCAACACAATCCCTCCCCACACGGCGCGACAGGAGCCGTGCCCAGCAGGAGGTTCGTGTCGGCGTGGATCTGAATTTTGGACTCAAACTGTGCGATCACATTTGTAGGTGGCTGGTCCAACGATGCCTTGGGAGGAGCTGCCACTGGGCCTATCCTCGTCGATGGTGCAAAACGCGACAGGTGAGGAATGGTCGGTCGCGATCTGTGTGTGCAATCCCTGCTGATGACATTGGTACTGTCAGGAACATCTGGCCAGGTAACCCCTCATGCTCATGGACGCGATCTAACCCTCGGACTCATGCGACGGATCAGGCGACTGCGGCATCTCCACACACACGGAGCTCGTCGCGCTGAGCGACATGGAGCCGACCAAGAACTCGTTGATGGTGATGTTCCGCACGCAAAACCTGACGACTGGCGCGCTGCAGTACTCCGGGCCGCCGCTGAACAACCAGGGAAGCGACACGTACATCTCGTGGTCGCTCATTGGGACGCACAACTACTTCCTGTACACGGGCGACCTCGATTTCATCAAGTCTGTCTGGGCGAACTACACCAAGGCGGTTGGCTTCCTTGAGGGCCAGGTGGACTTGACCGGCCTGATGAACGTCTCGTCTGCGCTCTCGAACGACTGGGGCAGGGCCAGCGGCGCCGGACACAACTCTGCGGCAAACGCGTTGCTTTATCGCGTGAGGATTGATTTCTGTCTCTCGCATCATGTATCCGCGCTCATCAAGCTCGTAGACGCTCGTCACCACGGCGGACCTGGCGACGCATCTCGGCAATGTCTCCCTCCCCGCCACATACCTCGCCAACGCGACCAAGATCAAAACTGCGTTCAACAGCCTGCTGTGGGACGCCGCGGCGGGCCGGTTCCGCAGCAACGACCTGCCGAGGAGCATCCACCCGCAGGACGGCAACGCGCTCGCGGTCCTGTACAACCTCACGACATCGGACGCACAGAACAAGGCCGTGAGCGCCGGGCTGATGAAGTTCTGGACGCCCATCAGGCCGTGGCTTCGAGGTGCGTGTTGCGCTGGTGGTTTGTGGTTTGCGTGTCACCTGCGCGACAGATCCAAGCGCATTTTGTGGCCGGCAAGGGCGAGCGGGCAATTGATCTGATCGAGCGCGAGTGGGGGTACATGCTGGAAACCAACTTGAGTGTCAAGTCGCCGCTGCTAGAGGGCTTCTCGGCCAACGGATCGCTCGGGTGCGTGTCGTATCAATCAGCTGCGGCAAGCTGTTGGTCCTGATCTGTACGCATGGTTCTCGGATGAGGAAGACTCCCGCGAAAATGATTAGTGAATTACAGTAATTACATGCTCACTACGCTATCTCGAATATTACACTATCTTGAATGTTGCGCTTTTCGAATATTACGATGTTGCGATATTGCGATAGTCGGCTACCTGGGGTCTTGATCATTGCGTCAATCATCTGATCAATATCTGCCGAGCGGCCATCCACGATTCAGACATCGGTCATTAGTATAACGTTTTCAGCCGTCCAGATAGAGCGCATCATGACATGGAGCGCATCATGAAATTGATCCTATGTCGGCAAACTATCGCGTATCAGTGATACGTCCTCCGTTTATCAGCATATAGTTCCCGGCCTCCATACTTATCACTGGGCACCTGTCAGCCAACTAATTACTGCGGAGCGCAAGGCCGATGTTATGGGGTTTCACCAATTCAGCGCTTACCCACAGCCCCAACAAGCCTTGGCATCTCTCCAGTCAGCAACGATGCGGTTGCGGGGTAACAGAAATCCTGAGCGGCGTCAAATGCACCCATGAGAAAAAGCCGACAGGAGAGATGGATAAGGAATTAACTTTGGAATCCTCATCGAGCGCGTGAATACGTGTCCGTGCCAACTTAAGGGCACTACACAAGGGTCAGGGAGCGGAAGGAATACCACACGTGATCGCGTATGCACGTGCCCTGGTCGTGCGATCATCGATGCATCAACCGATCACTCGTTCTTGCTTTCTGACGCTCGCTTCGGAGCGCGCTGCTTCGAGCGACCTCCGAGCGTGGCGACCAAAACCTCGATATGCGGTGCAGCAGCTCCGACCACCTGGATACACATGTTCATCAGTGCTGTAACATCACGTCCAATTTGTTCCCAACACTCCTGAGGCTGACGAGCCACGGCCACATGACCCGCCCGGCCTCCGAGTCCGCCGTTGCCGGGCCCTGAGAAATCGTGGTGGGATTGGCATGCCACAGCAGCGAGTGATGTGGGCCGGCCAAGCGACATCCGTGTTTACGCCGTCTCTCCTTCTCTGCTCTGGACTATGACCACCATCGACATCCTGCCCGTCGTCGACATCCCGCTGCCCGCCATCCCGGATGACCTGAGCATCCCCCAGTTCTTCCTCGATCGGCGGAGCGCGGTGCCCCGACCGGCTCGCCCTGCGGACGTCCCGTGCTTGATCGACGACACCACCGGGCGCAAGGTCCTCTTCGACGAGGTGCGTGTCGCTCCAGCAGCAACAGCTTGACTGGCGGAGAGCGCTGAACTGAACTGAACTGTGCGGCCGCAGCTGCTCCACCGGTCCCAGGCCCTGGCGAATGCGCTTGCGACCCTGTATTCCATCGGTGCGATATTTCCGCTAGGCACGAAACTACCTGACCGGGCTTTCGATCAGGGGAGGACGATGTCGGTGCGTTGTGCCCCTAGCTGTTCACAAGGATCTGAGATGGATAATCATCCACTGCCCAGTGCTGCTCTACGGCAGGAACAACATCGACTACCCGGTAGCTATCTGGGCTGCCCACAGGTACGCCGCCAGCTGCGCTTGCTTTCTAGCTGGGTCTCCCGCTCACGTGGACGCCGCACGCAACAGGGTCGGCGCCATCGTGTCGCCGGCAAATCCCGACTACGCAGCGAACGAGCTCGAATACCAGCTCAAGGCAGCCAAGGCCAAGCTCATCATCAGCCACCCCGAGGCGGTGGACGTCGCGTCGGCTGCGGCTGCATCTGTTGGGCTGCCGCAGGACAAGATCCTCGTCTTCGATATCCCGGGGCAGGCGCCTGCGCGCGCCTCGCCGTATGTGTCGCTCGAGTCGCTCATCCAGCACGGGCTCAAGGAGACGAACGTCGTGGAGCGCGGGCTGCGGCCCGGCGAGGGGAGGACCAAGCTCGCGTTCTTGAGCTTCTCTTCTGGTGAGCGCCCCCAGGGTTTGCGGCTGGCATATCCGTCTGATCGGCTCGGCATAGGTACTACCGGTACACCGAAAGTCAGTTGCACTTGCCTTGGCATCCGTCCACTTGAAAACGGAGACTTGACATTTCGTAGGCGGTCGCTATCCCGCACTATGCGGTGATTGCCAACGTCGTCCAATTGGGAGCCGCGAACCGACTCAACGAGGACTACGCCAGCTGGAACGACCGGCGATTCCGCACGGGCGACGTTGCGATTGGAGGTCGGTCGGTCTTGCTCTCCGGCATGAAGCAATAATTGACGTTGTGAATGCACGATCCAGTTCTGCCGCTGTATCGTTCGTGCTTCCCCATTCAGTGCCATTTCTGCCATGCTCACAAATTCACTTTGCAGATATCTACGGTCTAGTCATCAACGTGAACCCCGCTGATTCGAAAAGCACCACAGAAGTACTGACGTCGAGGTCCAGCTCCACTTTATGCTCTACGCAGCCATGACTGTGGTCATAATTTCCCGGTTCAATTTCGAGAGCATGCTCAAGAGCATCGTCAAGTACCGCATCTCCCACCTCTTGTGCGTTTCCAGCCCTCGAAACGTGCCGAGCTCCGCGTGACACTTCTGCAGCATCGTTCCTCCGCAGGCCGTGTTGCTCTGCAAGCATCCGTCAGTCAAGAATTACGATCTCGGTAGTGTGCGGGCGCTTATGACGGGTAAGTTCACCCCAATCGCACAAATGGGAAATGTTCAATTTTCATGACGCTGATCAGGCGCTGCGCCGCTATCCGACGAGCTGGCTGTGATGCTGCACAAGCTCTTCCCCGATGCGCATATTGGCCAGGGCTACGGCATGACGGAGACCAGCACGGCGGTGAGCCTCTGGCCGCTCGACAGCAAGCGCGGGAAATCAGGAAGTGCGTTGCAGTCAAACACACACCGTCTTCCCACTCCAAATGCTTCTTCGGCTCACCCATGACGCAGGCGCCGGGCACCTGTTACCCGGAGTCGTCGCCCGGATCGTCAAAGAAGACGGGACGTATGGCGCCCGCGGAGAGGCCGGCGAGCTGGTGGTCAAGTCGCCGTCGAACGCGTTGTGTTACTATAACAACAAGGAAGCGTGCGTCGGCTTCTGTCATTGTTTGGTTTTTTATCCAAGGCTGATTGTGAGCAGGACGGAGGAGACCTTCCTCGAGGGCGGGTGCGTCGTTTATTCAATATCACATGCCCACCGCCGCATCGGCTGATCCCTGGCCCGCAGGTTCGTGCGAACGGGCGACGAGGCCAAGATCACGGAGGAAGGCGATCTGTTCATCATCGACAGACTGAAGGAAATAATGAAGGTCCGCCGCGCGCCGATCTGCATGCATTGACTGACGCCCCAATGCCGAGCAGGTCCGCGGGTTCCAGGTTGCGCCGGCCGAGCTCGAGGGCACGCTATTGCAGCACGCGGACGTCGCGGACACGTGCGTCGTCGGCGTGCCGGATGAGTTCAGCGGAGAGGTGCCGCTCGCGTTCGTCGTACTCAGCGCGGACGCGGCCAAGCGCGTCGCCGACGGGACGAGCCAGATAGACGCGATCCGCGCTTCAATCATCAAGGTATCACAGCCCATTCACGACGAGATTCATATTTTTTTTCTGTCTATTTCTGACGTGCTGCGCAGTACATCGCGGACAACAAAATCGGGTACAAGCACCTCGCGGGTGGAGTGGAGTTCATCGATGCCATCCCGAAGAATCCGAGCGGGAAACTGCTGAGGCGGGTGTTGAGGGAGAAGGCCAAGGCCATGCGTGGCACTATAAAAGCGAGACTCTAGGGAGGACCATCTATTATCTAGGAATATTTATTCGGGCCATATGCCCATCGGTTTTGTCGTCAATTCATTGGGAGGCACGTGACTCGGCAATCGTATTTCCACGGTTCAGATTCTGGTATTTTCTCAGTTTTAGCCTCAAAATCCATGCCAGACCATTGCTGCTCTCTCGCATAGTCTTCAAGTAAGCTATCCAGTTTTTCTATCATTCTTTGATCCTGATCATTGAAGTCTTCGATCCAGGCCAACCATCTCTACAATGCGGGACTAGATGCTGACCTAATCCCAACTGCGGACAAATACGAAGCAATAAGCATCCGGAGGCTCTAATCTCCAGAATTCAGCGGTGTGCTGACGAGATATCTTTTGCATGTGTAGATTCTGAATGATGCGATTATATGAGCAGGAGACGAGTCCCGGGTGCCCTTTGTCACAGGTTTAGTGAAAAATTACAGCTGGAGCCTGGTACTTGCATCATCTACATGTACATCTCTGGGTAGGTAAATATAAAATCCAGTTTAATCAGACACACTCCCAAATCTCTGGCCCAAGGCTGAACGAACGTCCAGAAAGCCCAATATCAGGGCACGTAGAAATCCGGAAGGAACGCGGCTGATACCGGATCAGACGTTCCAGGCGGCTGATCAGCACAGCCGCGTCTTTGCTTGACAGCTGCACTTTCTGCTCAGCCGCACGAGAGTGGTTGCAGACCCATCCAGCATGTTCTCCGGCCTCTTATCACTCGCGCAAACACTCCTCTCGATTGGGGGTCTCGTGTCCGGCCGCCCGTCTGTGTCGATCCGGAATGGCACCATTCTGTGAGTGCGCCCCCGCTCTGAGTCTCTCCTGTGCTCTGGGCGCTGCAGCTGATCGCCTCTGGCAGCGGTGTGGATCTGCCGAATCTCGGGCAGCACGTGTTCCTTGGGATCCCGTTCGCGCAGGCGCCCGTCGGCGAGCTGAGACTGCGCGCGCCGCAGCCGATGTGAGTGCCGCTGCGTGTCAAGTCAAGCACGTGGTCAGGTCAGACTCGTCTCATCTCATGCCGCCCACAGTGTGACTCCTCTGGGGGACTTTGACGCTTCGCGCTATGGCGCGCACTGCTGGGGCGGTGTCTCCGCTGCATTCGTACGGCCTGCGCTTGCTTGGGGGTGGTGGGTGTGCGCTGACCGTTTCCAGGACGACAACAAGGGTTATGAGAGCTCCGAAGACTGTTTGACGCTGAACGTCGTCCGCCCGTACGTCGCCACGGCTGAGAAGCCCGTGCCTGTCGTTGTTTGGAGTTTGTGCAATCACGTTATTGACCTTCTTAAGCTGATTTCTTCGCAGTTCATGGCGGCGGTTTTGTGAGTCGCACACAGATGCTAACATCGAATCCTGATGAACTGATTCTGTAGTTCACTGGTGGCAGCGTAAGCGTTCCCGGTGCACTGCGGTCGGATGGTTAATCCAGATTAGGGCGATTCACGATATAACGGAAGCTTCCTCGTCGAAGCCTCGGTGGCAAACGGCAACCCGATCGTGTTCGTTTCAATCAAGTGCGTACAGCGAACACTTTACTATACATCTTCTCGAGCTTTGATTCTCGAAGCTACCGCCTATCGTCACTGGGATTCTTGGCCGGCAGGGCCCTGGCCAGTGAAGGCTCGCTGAATTTGGGTCTGAGGGACCAACGTCTGGCGCTTCACTGGGTCCAGGAAAATATCGCTAGATTCGGCGGAGATCCAAAGTGTGTGCATTGTTCATCGTCATCACAGTTTCAGCTCATTTTGTCTTTCAGAAAAGTCACCATCCAAGGCGAAAGGTGCGTCTCTTGACGTGTTTGATCTTTCCCAATGAGCATTTTTCCAGTGTGAGTCGATTCCAATGAGGGCCCTTCTATACCTTTCGCTGATCGCACAATAAGGCTGGCGGGGCGAGCGTCCACGCACACGTAGTGGCCTACTCGGGCCGCGACGACCACCTCTTCCACCAGGCCATCCCACAGAGCGGCACCTTCGGCCAGAAGCACAGCGCACCCGACGCGCCGCAGATGCAGGCGACATACGACAAGCTGCTTTCGAGCACCACGTGCGCGCAAACCGCCGAGCAGGCGAGTGACGTGCAGCTGGCCTGCATCCGCGCGCTGCCGATCCAGGAGTTCCGGGAGGCCACGGGTGGTGGGATGACAGGTTTGGTCGCCGACGGCGATCTTCTCGACGTCGGGAGCGCATTGGACGCCTACAAAAAGGGGAATTGGGTCAAAGTCCCGCATCTGGTGAGAATCTCTACCGGTTTATACATCTTTTCCCTCTCATTCCACGAGGCTAGATTGGCAGCAACACCGACGAAGGGTGGAGTTTCGGTGCGCGGGGAGCCAATACCACTGAACAGACAAAAGCTCTCCTGGCCGGGCTGGTTCCCTCGGAACATCTCGACGCCCTGCTCAGGTTGTATCCTGACGTACCCGCCCTCGGATGCCCGTTCAACACTGGGGATCTGCAGCCGAGCGCTGCCGGGGCGGTGGATTTCTTCAGTTCTGCCGAGATGCCGTCTGGGCTGCAGAACAAGCGTGTTGCGGCGATTGTCGGCGACGTGATGCTGGCTGCCGGGCCCCGATGGCTCGCGCAGGTGGCGTCCAGGGAGGTTGCTGTGTTCAAATATAGGTACGTACTTGAACCGCGCGGATGTCATAAAGTGTCAGACATGTTGGCTCACGTGCGCGTAGGTTCAACCACGTGCCGTACAGCACGTCGTCGGGTGTGCAGGATTATGTCGGCCACTTTGTCGAGGTGCGAGATCTGATCGCCAGTCGAATCTAGTCTCATCACATCAGGTCCCGTATGTATTCAACCTCCAAAACGACGAGTAGGTCGATCGCCGCGCCTTTCCCATTCACTCGCTGGGCTCAAGCGTGTGTGACAGGACCGCATTTTGGAAGGAGCACGGCTGCACGGCGACATACCTCGGCCCAGGGGCACCGACGGGCGATCGCTCCCTCGGGATCGCGATGAGCCGCGCGTGGGCGAGTTTCATTGCCACCGGGGATCCCAACGAGGCGAACGGTACGCGAGCAATCACGAGACGACTCAATTGTTTGATCTGTGATATGTATAGTTCCCGGTCAGACGCACTGGCCTCCGTATTCTGAAGGCGCGCGGAACTTGGTTTGGCAGACACGCGGATCCGTCGTGGAAAACGATGTCAGTTGGGATCTGTTTCCTCCCCCTCCTGATGATCAGAAAACTGACAGTTTGGAAAGAATTATAGAGAGGAGGGGATCCAGTTCATTGTAGAGAATATCGTGTTTTAGTAGGATCATCCAGGACGCATGGACGCAGGGCGGCTGCGGCCGAATTTGACACGTTGGACGATGTAAACAGGAAATGAAATCTCCGATTTTGTGTATTGTCGTCTTCTTTCTTTTGCTAGTCTGTCAACGTCACAGTTGACGGGCTGGCGTTGAGTCCTTTCGTGGGTGCTCAAGCGAACAACGGGCGATTCCAGAGTTTTGTCGCTCCCTCACCATGCTCCCGCTCCCGTTCTTCGTACTCTCTCTGCTTTCATGCGCTGCATCCCTCGCGCTTCCCGATCTTACCGACACGGCGACTGCGGTGTTGCGCAGCAAACGCTCGTTGCTGGGCTACGTCGTGGACGAGCTCAGCGCAGCGGCGGAGGCTGCTGATCTGCTGGTTAAACCTGGACCGCATCCTCAGGGCGACGCGTTCCCAGTCCTCGCGGCAGATTGCACGGACGTGATCGTGAGTCGCTCCGGGAGACTTCTTCTCAACCCGATTCTTGATTCTCCCTGCGGATGGTTGAGTCGATACCAGGTCATCTATGCGCGCGGCACGGCCGAGCCGGGTCCCATCGGGGAGACGGTTGGCCCTGTTTTCCAGAATCTGCTCCGCCCAGCGCTCGTTGCTGCGGGCAACAAGACGCTGGCTTTTATTGGCCTTTCCGAGTATGCGGCGACGTTCCTGGGATATTTCGCAGGTGGGGATGCCAGCGGGAGTAAGGAGATGGCGCAGAAGGTACGTCGCCGGGAATCTCTGCGCATGTAGCGTACCAGGTGATAACTGCATTCTCAGCTTGCTGCCGCCGCGACTTTGTGCCCTCGGGTGCGCATATAATCCCGAATTTTACTCTAGTCGTTCCTCCCGATTCAATTTGCATGAAACAGGCTGCGATCATATCCGCTGGATACAGCCAAGGAGGCCAACTTGTCCACAATTCGGCGAGGCTGCTGTCGACCGCGACGGCTGAACACATCAAGGCGGTTGTAATCTTTGTACTGTGGACCGTCTCATTTAACTGCGTCCCCGCCACTCAATCTTTCGTCTGTGCCCTAGGGTGATCCAGACGACGGACAGCCGGTGCAGGGCATTCCCAGCAGCGACACGGATGTGATTTGCCACCCCGTTGATGCGGTTTGTAAACTGGGTCGGGACGGTGTCGTTGGAGCCCCGTTCATCCTGCTTACGGTGTGGGACCATCTGTACGTCGGCGTGTCTCGCAATTCACGACAGAGGCTTACGCGTATGGGATGCAGGAACTACGAGAAGGATGTGAAAAGTGCTGTGGAATATGTCGTTGCGAGAGTGTGATTTGGGATCAATCATGATGACGCAGTCCACGGAGTCGACGGGAGCCACATCATAACGTGGGAGACAGACCTCTGCTTACAATGACTTACGGGAATGAGTCTCGGCGTGCTTATGGAATGGCGATATCCAGCTTCCGACTTTCCAATGCAGATCAGCACAGCGCATTACGCGTCCGGCTTGAGGTCCCAGATAGTGATCCCTTCTGGCTTACCAAGGACTGATAGACCGGTAAATATCGCCAGCCTCCTAGCCCAGAGGTAACAGATATGGACACACCGAGATTCGCAGATCGTGCATCTAGGGGTTCTTGATACACATCCGCGCAGATCCATCTCGCACGATTACACTACTGACGAGATTGCCAGCCCAGCTGCTGTAAGCGTGTGTGCAAACGTCGAACTTGAGTCGCCATGCGCCGCTTAGAATTGCTTGTTGTCCAGCGTCCAAGTGGGAGATAGCTCAGCTTACAAGGATGCGAATCTAATCCACCCTTTATTTTTATCCTGTAGCAGGCATCCCCCTGGCTACAGGGGAATGAGAGGGGCTTAGACATAGCAGATCGAGCTGTGGGACCATCAGGTTGCACGGCCCACCAGCTGGGCGCACACACCGCATGGGGAGATCCCAACTCGCTTTCCAGCAGCAGCGGCAGACCCGAGGTAGACCGGCTACGATCTCATTTGTGGTTGCAATCGCAGGTGCTAAAAGTCTACATATGCCGGGAGTGTATTCCAGTGTCCAACTAATAAACTTGTGAACGGCTGGCCTGTCATCCATTCAACTCTGGCCGTGTGATGCACATTTCCAGAAGTCAGTATTGGTACAGAGTGTACTTCTGGTATGGTTGGGGGATGATATATCCGGTCGATGGAGAGCCGAAGACCACTGTGTCGTTCAATCCACAATGGGCTGTCGTCCGAGAATTGAGTTAAGCACGCTCGGGCGCGAATGAGTGACTCATCGGAGCACTATTGCCGATCAATGCACAGGTTTGCAGTGATAATAGCAAGTCCTGACTAACCCATCCTAGTCGTGCTTTAAAGTTGACAGTGGCTTCGGAGCCTGCGAGGCGTCACTGAATGCACATAGACACACGCCGCCGGATTATAGGGCCGAGCGCACAGGGCAGGTATGCACCCAAGTTCGGGCTCGCACGATTGCCGACCCGAACCCGGCTGCCAGCACATGCATGCACTGAAGACAATTTCCCGCTTCCGATGCGCACCTGCAATCGGTGGTTGTATGGCCGCTCGATAGGCTTGGAGACCCATCTTTGATGTCCTTGCACTGGTCCAAGTTTGCGCTACTGACGTCTCCGAACAACTTTGATAGAACCTGGGGGCAGTGTTGGCCGATGATCATAATGAATCGTGTCGTGGGCGCGCGCGAGCGGTGAGCGAGCCGGAGCATGCGATGCCGCACAGCATTCGCTATGGGCTGCTATGCATGGTTGCTCGCCGAGTGGCATGGTCGTCAAGAGAGAGAAAGGGAGACACAGAGAGGGATCTCGTAATGGAGGCTACGGACATGCACGCGGCAACTGGTCCCTGGTACTGCCTTCAGGAGGGCCGCTCGATGTGTACCAGAGTGACGTCAAGAGAAGAGAAATGTGATTGGATGCTGTTCCGTGCAGGATAAGCGCGGTCAGCGCGGATGGACAGGCCGCAGAATATATGGCCATGACAGAAATCAACGCGGAGGGTTGCTTAGAGGCGCCGGTGCCAGCGCACAAGAGAGGACGACCACACGGTGCCCCTCAGTCTGTCTGTGCGACTCTCGACTGATTCGCATCCTGCGGATCTGCCACCCCGTCCGATGAAATAATCCCGTTCTCAGATTTCCGGATTTCGGTCGCGAGATCTCGGTCGTCAAGAGACCTGGCCATGTGTTTCTGCTAGCGCCAGATCGAGGGGAAACGGATCCTAGATATTCCATTATCCAGCGCCGAGGCGCGCCCAGGGAACAGGCACTTCCTTAATCCAGTCCCAGGGCTAGTGGCCGGAAGGTGCTCAGTGCTCGCAAGCACCGGATGGAGTTCATTCAATTTGTGTGTCCTCTGAAAGAAGAAGTCGGCGAGCGGGAAGCGAAGAAAGACTGTCAAGTGCAGATGCCAAAGATCGGCAGCTCGCCGATCGCCTCGGCCTAGAAGGGAGAGGCCGCTGAGTCACGCATCAATTGCTTAGTCACTCGCAGCGCCTCGCTCGCCTCTTGGGGTCCATCTATCCCATCATCCACCATCGCATTTGCACCGGCCGTCTCCTTTTCGCTCGTTTCCTTGCACGACAACTCATAGTCGGAGCTCCACCCGCGTCCAAGATCTCTTTAATAGACGGGCAAGAACGAAGGATCTACCGCGGACATTCTGAAAGAGGGGTCTCTCGACAAGCGCAGACGAAGATGGACTTGTCGCTCGCAATGAACGCCAGTACGGAATCCCTCGCGTCCAACTCATCCTCCCACTCGCACAACTCGGTGCACTCGAACCCCCTCCCATCATCCTCTTCGTCGGCCGCCGCTGCATCGCATTCGCATCCCCTCGCCCACCATGCGCACACTCTGCCAGCTATCCCCATCTGCCGCCCATCGCTCTCGCTCACCTCCTCCATGGGGCTCAACTCCGGGCTGGACGACTCCTCGGAACACACCGCGAAACCGGGCAACGCCCACGTCCACACGGCGTTCCACTCCCAGTCTCTGCCGCTGCCGCATGCGCGCGGGCACGGAGAGCAGCGGCTGCTCGCCATGGGCGACGGAGTGGGGTCGGACGAGGATGCGCGGATGCAGCAGTACCTGAACGGCATGCCGGCCGAGTCAACGGCGCACGATGCCACCATGAACGGCGCCTTGAGCCGGCCCTTGTCCAACGTCGAAGCGGAGCGTCTGACGTATCTGGACCGCCTGAAGTTCTTCCTCGCGACGGCGCCGAGTCGGTGGGATGTGGAGGATGAAAGCGGTTAGTCTCTCGTTCCTTCTTTCCTTTGTTCCTTGCCCTCCTTTTCGTGCTTCCTCTTCCTCCTCCCTCCGAGCCCTAGCGCTCGCTAGGAGCTCGCTGTCGCTGCTGGTGCTCTTTTCCCTTGACATCTATCTCCATGGGGAGACGCTTTCCCCCTATACCGATGTGACTTCCGCGAAGATCCGCTTTGTTGTCCTTCTGGCCATCCGAAGACACACGGGACCCGGGCAAGTACGATAGCGAGCTTGAATCGGCGGTGGCATGCGCACCCGTTTCCTTGATCCCTGGAGTTAACTCTACCGATGCTTGGGGATCGGGCCGAATATCTCCTCTATGCTATCTCCTCTATGCTACTTCCCCGTTCCACAGAAACTTATTTCATTTACAGTTCCCCATCTCGGGCACACTAACTCCAACCCAATTACATCGACGTCGCACCCGGCGCTGAACCGCTTCTTGCTACCGACTCAAGAGTATGTGAGCTGCGTGCTGTGGAACGGACTCTTCCATATCACGGGGACGGATATCGTACGGGCCTTGGTGTTCAGATTCGAGGTGCGTTGGCGTTTGTTCGCGGCTCCTCGGCAAACCCTTGCGTACGCACATTGCTGACTTTGTTCATCTATCCAGGCTTTCTCGAGACCTGTACGCAATATGAAGAAGTTCGAGGAGGGCGTGTTCTCGGACCTGAGGAACTTGAAACCAGGGACGGATGCTTGTCTAGAAGAGCCCAAGGTATGTTCGAGTTCTCTCCTCGCACTTTTATGGGTGCACTGCGACATTGGACTTTTGTTATCGTACCACATCTTGATTGATCTGCGGTCTTCCGTGTTCCCCGTCAAATTCACACCATGCTAATCGTTGATTCAGTCGCCTTTCCTCGATCTGCTCTTCAAGTATCAGTGCATTCGGACACAGAAGAAGCAAAAGGTTTTCTATTGGTGAGTCTAGCATCATATGGGGGACTGCCAGTCGTTGACGTAAACTGTAGGTTCTCTGTCCCCCATGACAGGCTCTTCTTGGATGCGCTTGAGCGAGATTTGAAACGAGAAAAGATGGGCTTGGAACCTACCACCCAGGCACGTCGACACACCCACTCTTGCCAGATACTTTCTCAACTCTTGACTGCAGATCACGGGCGAGCCGGCACTGTCTTTCACATACGACTTGAAAAAGTCGCTCTACGAGCAGTTCGTGCTCAACCGGGGAAATGCCGGCAATACAGGCAGGGATGAGTCTCCGGCCCCCGGATCGAGGGCAGCATCTGTCGCGTCTTCGCATTCGCATCATTCTTCTGCGTCAGAGAGTGGACCGACGCCCTTCTTTGCGACGATGTTCTCACTCTTCGAGGGCAGCCCATCGTATAAGCAACGGAGGAAGAAGACCGCTGGAAAGGCGCCGTCCTCAAATCTAGGGCCTGGAGGACAGTATGAGGAAGAGGAACGGAGGGGACGTACGACGGGGAGGGGGTATCCTGGCATGGGCCCCGAGCAGTCAACTCCTCTGAGCGCAGCGGACATGTTCATCAAGCAGGCGAAGGGACAGCTCGATGCACCGCCGTACGGTCGATACGAGAACCCCCATGTGCAGGCTCTCCAGCATCATCAACGCGCGCTAGCCGGCTTCGATCAACCACACGCCCATGGGCTTAGTCACGAAGATGCAATGCGGGAGGCGTATGCTGCCAACCAGCAACAAGCAGCGGCCGCCGCGGTTCAAGCTGCCCAAGTGCAAGCGGCTGCTGCTGCCGCGGGTTCTCCCGGATACGGCGCCACGTCGTTCCCCGCGGGATATAATGCCAGCGGGATGGAGCTCAAGACGAAAGCGTTCGTGTGTCCGCTGTTTTCGTGTGGCCGGCTCTTCAAGCGGATGGAGCACCTGAGACGGCATCTGCGCACGCACACGATGGAACGGCCGTTTGCTTGTCAGCGATGCAATAAGCGATTCTCGAGGAGCGATAATCTCAACCAGCACGTGCGAACACACCTGCGAACGGACGGGATCCCTGGGGCAGCTGAGGGGTGGGCTGCGAGCGCGAGTGGTGGCGAGGACGATATGGATGACAGCGGCGGGGACGGCGAAGAGATCGACGAGCTGGCTGGTGACGATGATTCCAACGGCATCGGCATCGGCGCCGGCTTGGGCATGTTCGGTGGATCGCACGGACTCGCCATGGGCATGGGCATGGTGAATGCCCCTGGAGGCCCAGGATTCGTTCCTGGCCAAAACTTGGACATGCAGATGTGCGAGGTGGAGGTTCCTGTGAGCGACGTGCAGGAGGTCACTGGTGACGAGGAGGGCCTGATGATGCGCACGACCGGCAACAAGTACAATAACGGCTACAGCGACGACGGGCAGTGGGCAATGAGGTCTGCGAGTCCGGCATACAGCACGATGAGCGTGCCATCCTCGCCACCTCCATCATTGACGCGTACGACGGCCCAGTACCCGGCCTCGCGGCACCACCACACGTCGTCGAATGGGTCCATGTACGACGACTACGTGACCTCGATTTCGGCACCGTCCCATAAGCAGGCGTTCGATCATAGCTCGCTCTATCCGCCGGGGATGATGGTCGACTCTAATCCGGGACCCATTCGGAGGCACCGGAGCATGACGCCGTCTTTGGTTCGCGGGGGAGAGTCGATTCGGCGTCCCCTGACCTCTAACAGCGGCGACTTCGTCGGGTCCCCTGGGCGGGGATACCACCCCTACGCATATAGCGGCAGTGGCAACTCGAATTCTGGATCCAGAGCAGGCAGCACGCACTCCAGCCCTTCGTTCAACAACATCCCCCTTGCGTCGGATTATGGCCTGCGGCGGTCAGAGTCCCGGAACTCGAATCTGAGCAGCAGCAGCGACATGCATATGATGGACGCGCAGTTCTCTGGGCAGGAGTTTCTGCGGTCCGAGTCGCCTGCGGGCACTTTCATCACGAACTCTCCGCGGCCGTTTACGAGCTCGCCGGGGCTGTACACGTCGGAGTTGCCGTATGAGACGAATTCATATCCGCATCACTCGCAGACTGTGCCGGCGCAGTTTGACAAAAGCCTGTTCGTGGCGGACTTTAGCTCGAACACCAGTGATGGCTATGTCGGGGGCGGTGGTGGTGGGTATCCGCATCCCCAGCATGTCAGTACTATCTAATCATGTATTCACTAAAACCACCCACCTGTACGCTCGCTATCGATGTATTGACCTCTCTTGTCGTAGTATAATTGCTTCTTCTTGCTCATATCTATTCCAACTATTTATTGTTTTGCTTCTATCTACGACGCCTATTACTTACTACTAGCCCTTATTTTGTGTTTATAACAGTAGTGCATAATCAAGGCGTCCGGCGGTTTTGGTTCGCCACAGAAGTGGATTGTCAGCAGCACGTGACCGTGATCCTCTCTTGTTGTGCTCGCCCATGTCTCACTCGGATGCTCGAGTGCCGGAGACCGACGGGATAGAAGAACTGGACTTCGAGCCTCTTATGTGCTGCAGTTTCCCACAACTTTCGAAACGATGACGGAACGCTTGTCAGATCGGCTGTTCATCACGACTCCCCTTCCCAGCGGCCCTCTGTGTCATGCGCAGGACGGAGCGGGGGACCGATTTGCTCTCGCGAGAGTCCTGATCCTCCGTGATCCATGTCTATCCTGGGCCTTTGGGTAAGGTCTATGTCTGTGGTCTGCATCTGCGATAGTCCGCCGGTGTCATCGAGGGTCCTTCTCGCAGAGATCAACAGTTCCCATCCCACATCGGAACGGTTGGATGAGATGAAACTGAAGGTGTCTTCACTCCATCACAGGTGGTGGTCTATTCTCGTCTGCTCTGTACCCTTTCTCTCTTTACTCTCCCCTCATGGCGATCCCGGGCCTCATACTCTTTCTCTGCTCGTTTGTGCTCAGGGGCGTTCTGGGCCAGACCTCACATACAGTACGCCACCGTCGCTTTTCCGTGCTATGTACATAAACGCTCCAACTGATCCTGATGTCGTACAGGTGACCGTCGGTATCGAAGGATCGTTCTATTCGCCTCCAACGATCTCCGCCGGCCTGAACGACACGGTCGTCTTTGTCTTCGGCGGAGACGTGCACACTGTCACGCAGAGCACCTTCGCGTCGCCCTGTGTACAGCTGGCTGGCGGGTTCAACAGCGGATTCGCAGGGAGGGGCCCCAACTTCTCGAACCCGATAACGACATGGACGTTGCGGATCACGAATGTTTCTGAACGTGAGCGATTATGCGTGTGTGTCCTGTCCTGGGGATGCGACTGAGGTGTTCTGTTCCAGCGATATGGTATTTTTGCCAGGCGTCGATGCCCACATCGCATTGCGAGTCAGGGATGGTCGGGTGCGTGGTCTCTGTGCTCCTGTCCCCTCCCGCCTTGCGCTGAGTCGCAGCAGCGCCATCAACCCCCCGAGTATCGTGATGTACAACCAGTTTGTGGCCGCGGCCAAGGCGGCTACTGGGACACCGACAGTACGTATTCCGTTCGCGCCACTGGAGCGGTGGTTGCCATCCACGGAAAAGAAGTAGCTAAAGTCAAACGTTACTCCTCCAGCCCACCTTTTCGTACCTTCCATCTGGGCAAGGCGCCTTCGCGACGAGTCCCCCCAGCACAAGCTCCATGCCTTCTGTTTCTTCTACCATCATCTCTACCTCGTTCACCTCATCCTCGTCGTCGCCGGCGTCGTCGATTTCGGAATCCACCGCGTCTCCGACGAGCTCAGACTCGGCGGGCGCCAGTGCAGTGCCCGTCAAAACTTCTGCCGGAGCCAATCATGGTTTGATCGCTGGATGCGCCGTTGCCGGTGCTCTCGTCGTGCTGATCGTGCTCTTCCTCCTCTTTCGGAGACACCGCCGGCGCTGGGCTCGGTACCAGCGCGAGCAGGAAGAAGGATACGGGCGGTCAACGACCGACGACAAGTTCGTGGTGCCGGGCAGTTCCGCTGCGCTGCACTCGGCCGCGCCACACTCGTTGACGAGCCACCCTTCCATCGCGCTTCTGGACGACCACGACTCGCACAGTCCTGAGAAGACGTACGACATCCAGGCACCTCGCCGCGCCGTCCAAAGTCCGCCGCAGCACGCGCAGCCGCCACCGCCATCCCGGGCCGCGATCCGGCCGCTCCCGCGGACCCCGTCGCAGAACCAGCTGTACGACGGTGGCGTGCAGGGCGCTGACGCGCCGACGTCGCCGGTGCAGCCCCCGAACATCGACATCAACTCGCTTGCAATGGAGGTCGCAAGTTTGCTGCTCCACACGCCCCCGCGCCCGGGCCATCGGGAGGGCAGCCCCACGCGCCGCACGGGGCGCTACGACTCTAATGCGACGGACGAGAGTGCTGGGACGGCCCCGCCTTACTACAGATCGACGCAGTGATGTGTAGGATTGTGCTCAAGTTTTCGTTTTGAGGGCTACGGTTACAGCAGCCGATGTATAACAATATATGTAAGAGCGAGTGGAAGGCCGAGCGCCCGCGTCGGTATGAATTTCTGGATACAGTACCAAGAACTCACGGTCTGCGTTTCTTGCTGAGGCGATCCATCCTTACACTTGGCATAAATTGACGTAACGCAATATTGAAGGACAGACTCACGAAGCGGCGAAATGGGATCGGCCCGTGATCTGAGCAGGAGACGTAAACAAGTCTGAGGTTGCCGCTGCGCCAGCCTCGACGCTGTCAACCCCATCAAGCGTGGGTCCCGCCGTTGGGGCATTAGATGCCGGTCCTACGCTGGCCACTTGCTCCGCCGAGAAAGAAACGGTGGGTTGTGCCACATGCAATGTGCTCGCAGATACCGCCGCACTGGTCAGAGCAGGCGCTTGGCGCCGCCGCTGCGCCGCGGTCACCGCGACGGAAGATCCAACGACCGCGCCGACGACGGTGAAAACGATGAGCACCGCTACGATTGGCCGAGCCCACCATCTACGAGGACTGCCCCAGAACGACCCTTCTTCGGCCAGCACGCGAAGTTTTTCGTCGGTTGGTGATACGGATACGGGACTGATCACAGGAGATGCAACCGCAAGTTGCTGCTGCTCAGAGTGGGGAGGGCGCAGGCGGCGGTTGGGTGCAAGGAGGGACGCATCGTAGCCGCGCTGTGATGCAGTTTTGAGACCGCTGAAATAAGGTATGGGCGAACCAGGAATGCCCCACCTGCATTTGAGGTTTGGAGATTGGAGCAACATCAACGAGCAGGCTCAGGTCGTAGTCGTGCCGGGCCGAGCTGCCCATGGCGAACACCAGCGGTCGGAGAGAGCGGACAGAGGTGGAGGGTGTGAAAGACCCAAGGGAGTCGTCTCGCTGTCTGTTACTGTCACCACAGATGGTCCCTGCTCGATGATCCCAGACTGCAAATAGACTCGGGGGCGGAGACTTCGGCCCTTCACACGACTTTGGTCCGTGGGTTGGCCATTGCGGAGATGAGGAAAGGCGCGAGTCGAGCGTCCTCCGGCCTCTACGCCGCAAACACAGATATTCGTGTACATGGCTTTCGTCAGCTCCGGGTTTGTCGAGCTAGCAGGGGTTACGCCGTGAGCAACTCACCAGTCACTACAGTAGATAGAGTAGATCGCTTATGTAAGCACCACGATCACATCTTTTCACATCCGACCAGCATGTCGACCACTTGCCAAAACTTGCAATGCTCAAACGGAAATCCCATTTCGCGACTAGAGTGTCCAACCTGCAACAAGTGAATGTCCGCGTTCTATGCATGATCGGCTGTGGCTCATGTCGACGCGTCGCTACAGATTGGGCATCCCAGGATCCTTTTTCTGTGGGCAGGAATGCTTCAAATCGGGATGTAAGCTCGCACCTCTTTGGCCATCTCGTGTTTTGTGTCATTCTGATTACTCCCAAGGGGTGAGCGCTGCCTTGTTGAGCGATGTCCTCAATGCGGTCTGAACGGTTGTGTAGAAAGTACACAAGGCGATCCACGGTGGCCTCGTATCCGCTGGTACGTGCGATCCAACCAATCCTCATCAAGATCCTAATGTACGCATTCTCCTCCAGACGGGACATACAACCCGTTCCCAAACTTTGCCTACACCGGCAGCATGCGGCCCGCATATCCGCTCTCGAGCAAGCGGCAGATCCCCGCACACATCCAGCTCCCAGACTACGTCGCCGATGGTGCGCGCATACCAGCCTCAGACGGGAGCACCCCCGGAATTCATAGCAGACAGGTGTCCCGAGGTCGGAGATCCGCGCGTCGGGTGGCCCGACGAAGATCCTGAATGCGGAGGAGATCGAGAAGATGCGCACAGTGTGCCGGGTGCGTGTCTCTTGCATCCCTTGTGTTTCCTGATCTAGCTGAGCGCGCGAATCATCATAGCTGGGCCGTGAGATCCTGGACATCGCTGCGGCTGCCATCCAACCCGGCGTGACGACGGACGCGCTGGACGAAATTGTGCACAATGCGACGATCGAGCGGGATGCGTATCCTTCTCCGCTCAACTACCGCAACTTCCCCAAATCAGTGTGCACGTCCGTCAGCCTCTGGCCTGGGCCTCGAGGTGGAGATGCTTACTTGTGTGGGACAGCTCTGTCAACGAAGTCATCTGCCACGGGATACCGGATAAGACTGCTCTGAAGGAGGGCGATATCGTCAACCTGGGTTCGTTGCCTGCTTGGTTACTGGTGCATCCAAAGCTGATTCGGTCCACCTTGTAGATGTCAGCGTGTATCACCAAGGTCGGATTTGTGCAGCCCCAGGCGTCTTCCAGGCTGATTTCAGTCGCAGGGTTCCATGCTGACCTCAATGCGACCTATCCCGTTGGCAAGATCGACGACGAATCGGCCAAACTGCTCCGCGTAACGCGAGAATGCCTCGACAAGGCGATCGCAATGTGCAAACCCGGCGCCTTGTTCAGGGATGTCGGCAACGTCATGTGCGTCTCTGCTCCGAGTTATAGTTCGGTGCCCCGTTCTCAATCCGCTATTGCTGCAGCGAGCCGCACGCGAAAGCGAATGGATGCTCTGTTGTGCGGACCTACGGCGCGCACGGGATCAACACTATGTTCCACTGCGCACCGGACTACATCCCGCACTACGCGAAGAACAAGACGCCCGGTGCGATGAAGGCGGGGATGGTGTTTACCATCGAGCCTGTACGTATGAGTGTCCTTAGTAGATCGCCCCCCTTGCTGCCGCTGACCGTGGTGCAGATGATCAATTTGGGACCCAGCTCCGCCGACATCCACTGGCCGGACAACTGGACCGCGACGACTGTGGATGGGAAGCGTAGTGCCCAGTTCGAGGAGACGTTGCTGTGCGTGTGCAGTTTTGTGTGTTTCATCTGCCGGCTGATTCATGCATAGGATTACGGAGACTGGCGTAGAGGTGCTGACCGCGAGACCGGCGTAAGGTGACCTAGACAAGTCTGTTCGCGGGATTCGGGTCACACTTGGTGTCAGACTCTGAGCCCATTGCGTATCTTATTTGAGGAGAAAACTCTGCGCGTTTCTGCGGTGCTGCGTGCTTTCGTGTGCAAGTACATACTGTTAGCTAACCAACGATCAAGTGTTTAGAACTCCCTTCTGAACAGTGTGATTGGACAATGCGACGAGTGTCAGGGGCTACTATTCTCTCTTCGACAGCCGCGCGGATTCCAGATCCGCTTTCGTCAATTCCACGGTTTTCATACATCGCGGTGTGCTTCCGTTTCTTAGTGCTACCCATTCGGTGCACATCACGGTGCAGAGTGTCGCTATTCTTTCGGCTGCGAGGAGCGTAACATACAAATTTCTAACAGAAGGCTTGAGAAGGAGTCGCTGCTGCGAGAAAAAGGAAATGCACGCAGTATCCGACAGTGAAGCTGAGTCTGCTGGTCCTGGCGTTGGCATTGGCACTCGCGCTTGCGCTTGGGCCGACAAAGACTTCTGTACTCCGTGCTACATATATTTCATCGACTACCCACGCATGGAAAACATGGCCCGGCTCCATTACTATGGACTAACGGCCAACAATAAGCGTCAGCTTCTCCCAGCCGAGTGCCTCAGTCTGCTACAGCTTAGCCTCCGTAGATGTCAGTTCAGCGAAAGAGGCAGGCATTGTGTTTAGACCGATGCATTTTCAGATATGATGCAATCTAGATAAGGTGGTATCGTAGCAGGACGCACGGTCCCGTAGTGCTGCCGCGAAGTGGCTGAAGCATACTAAAAACGCTTCCGAATCAATTCTTAGACGGTCCGCTAGGTACGGCGGGCTAATCGCTGTCGTTGACTGCCGTAAGGCATCATACTCAAAAAAGATATCTTAACCAGCAGGACCGGTATCGAGCAGGTCGTCGGTTACTCAAAAACGCCAAAATCTTCTGGACAGGGCCAATTACGCGATTTAGGATTCCGGCAAGCCAGAGCCCATTTTTGAACGGGACTTTCTGATTAGGAGACCAGGAACAGTTTATAACTTTGGCTGAGTAGATTGGATACCAGAGTCACGTTAGTCTAGATAAGACCTGAGGCCTGATAAGCTGGTTGTTGAGATCATGCAGAGCCAGGTCATTGATAACGTGATCATCTTGATCTCAGGTCCCGTGATCGTGATTGATGAGGGCTATCTATCTATCATCGGCTTGACATTCGCCGCGGCCTGTTGCTATCATCGTCCGCCCATGACCCAACTCACCAGCGAAGGTGCACCTCCCCCCTTCGGTCGCGAGCTCCTCAAATACTTCGCCTTCGATCCCGACTATGTGAACCTCAATCACGGTCAGTGCAGACGCCCGCCTGTCTGTCTGTCTGTGGAAACGCATCTCATCTTCACATCTCTTCAGGGTCCTACGGATCGCTCCCCCTCCCGGTCCTCGCGGCATGTAACGAGCTGACGATGCGCATCGAGGCGAACCCTGACGTCTTCGTGCGCGTTGACCAGACACCCCTCATCACCGCGACGCGGGAGCGGATCGCCAAGTTTGTGAACGCGAAGACGGAGGAGGTCGTGTTAGTGCGGAACACGAGCCACGGGATCAACACTATCATGAGGTCGTTTGATTTCAAGGAGGGGGATGTCATGGTCACTTGTGCGTCCATGTCCTCCGCTCTCTCCTCTCAGCTCCCGCAGGCGCTCACTCGTTCGAACGCTGTGTGCAGGCAGCACAACGTATGACGCCATGTCCGCACTCGCACGGGCCATCGCAGACGGCCCCACACACCCGACAATATCCCAATTTACCCTCACGTTCCCCACGTCCCACGCGGCGATCGTCTCCGCATACCGGGCGCACCTGCGCGCGATCCCGCGCCACCCCGGGCAAACGGTCGTCGCGCTCATTGACGCGATCATTTCTGTCCCCGGCGCGCTGCTGCCGTGGCAGGAGCTCGTGAAGGTGTGCAAGGAGGAGGGTGTGTATTCCGTCATCGACGCGGCCCATGCTATTGGGCAGGAGCCGAACATTGATTTGGCAAAGGCAGATCCGGATTTCTGGGTATCGGTGCGTCTGTGTCGAATTTATTAACCGGAACAGAAACCCATTTGGTGCATATAGAACTGTCATAAATGGCTGTTTGCTAAGCGTGGTTGCGCCATCATGTTTGTTGCAGAACGGTGGGCTGCTTGTCACGGTCTCCGGAAAGGACTTACTTTTATTCTAGCAACCAGGGAATTGTGCGGTCTTCGTTCCCAGTATCCAAGACGTACATTTCCACCAAAGATAGGAAGTTCCCTGGCGAGAGCTTTGTCGAGCAGTACAACTGTTAGCATTTGGTTCCTTTTGGAATACTCCTCACGCTCCGCTCGCAGGGAATGGTACCATCGATTTCGTTCCTCCCCTGAGCATTGGTCCGGGTCAGTAAAGCCTCTGCCAGTCGTTCAACAATTCAGTAATTATTCTTCTAGCCTTGGACTTCCGTAACTGGCTGGGAGGAGAAAAGAAGATCAATGACTATTGTCACTCGATGGCCATCAAGGGTGGTGCCCGTCTTGCTGAAATCTTTGGCACACAAGTCATGGATCAAACGGGTGAATTCACGTGCAGCTTGGTTCGTGGATCTATCCTTTCTTTTCATCAAATGATTGTAACAAAACTATGCACCCCCGAAAATAGGTCAATGTCCAGATACCCCTGCCGTCTTCCATCAAACCTACCAATGAAATCAACGACTTGTTCTACCAGAAGATGCTCGCTCCAACGAACCGGAAAACCAAGGTCAGCGCCGCGGTATACTATCACAATGGAGCCTGGTGGACCCGGTGCAGTGCGCAGATCTGGACAGAGGTGTGCTGATTTCTCGACGAACGACGACGTGGAGCATCATTTCTGATGTTTTCCAAGATCGAAGACTTTGAGCTATTGGGGGCTGTACTGACGGAAGTATGCCAAGAGGTCTTGACCGAGAACAGGGAGCAGCTGGAGTGAATGTAGAATAGATGCTAATCAAATACCCATGCCGAGTCTAACATGCAACTTATCGAGATCTACGGCTTTGCATTGCTATTTGTCATGGACGCTTCGTGCCAGAATGACCCGCCAATGGCTTCCCCACGGTTCTTCTGCGATTCTAAAGCAGACCTTTGCGCCTCCCCTTGCTCCTCGGTCATCCTGCAGCACCTGGCATCGCAGAGGTTTACCATTCAATATGAGAAGTCGGGTCTCGTCGAAGAGTAGACCTGGACAAGTCATT